CTATGTTTTTGAAATTTGCCCTTGAGTTTTGAGGTTATGTTCCTTTTTAAGCTATGTTTTCGACATAGGTAGTACAATTTTTTTATAATATCGGTAGACAATAATAATTATTTTTATTGTTTACTATTATTATTATTATTATTATTATTATTATTATTATTATTATTATTCTTTATTATTTTTATTATTATTATTATTATTATTATTATTGTTTATTATTATTATATTTATTATTATTGTTTTTGCTGTTAATAATTATTAACCAAAAAAAAGTAAAAAAATGAAAGATAATTCTGAGAAAATTGGAAAAAGAGGTGAATTTTCTGGAATTACATGGATCGTGTCAGAAATCATAATGAAGGAAAGAAAATGAGAATCAGTGAAAATAATTAGCCTTGAATGTCGTTTTTTTTAAACTCATTAGATTTTCTGTAACATGACACGTGACTTAATTTTAAATTTAATTAATTTAATTAATTTAATTCAAAAATCTCTTGATTTCCTTAAAAATTAAAAAAGATATTATATTGATTTTTGTGTTTATTAGTTAATATGGATTTTTTATTTCGTTTTATTAAAGTTTATTATAGCAATTTTGGAAAAAAAATTCTTTAAATTTTACAAAAAAAAAAATTGATAATTTAAAAAGAAAATAAAAAATTTTCTAAAAATTTGCTTAACTTTTTCAAAAATCACAAATTGTGGTAATAAAAAATAGTTGTTTTTTTTTTTTTGGAGGGGCTGAAGAGTAATTTTTATTTCTTTCCATACTATACGTTTGGAATAGAATTCGAGTGAACTATACGATTTTTTGTTATCGCGGGACTTAAAACGATTATTTGAGAATTCTGATCCTCGTTATCAACGACAAAATCTTTTCGATTTGTCTCCATTTTGATAATTGATGGCACTGTAAAAAGAAATGAAACCATTGGAACAATAAAAAAAAAAAAAAAAAAATAGAAAAAAAAGATAGAAGAGTCTAAAAAAATTCAGGGAAATTTAGATATTTTTAAATCTAAAGATTAAACAAAAAGATAAAAATTAAAGAAGAAATTAAAAATTTTTTTTAAGATCATTTTTATTATTATTATGTTTAGTATTATTTTTATTATTATTATTATTATTATTATTATTATTATTATTATTATTATTATTTTTGTTGTTACTGTTATTGCTAATATTGTTATTATTATTATTGAGAAAAAAAATTTATTATAAAAAATTTTCAAAAAAACTCAATAAGAAATAAAATGAATTTTTTTTCAATTTTTTCATTCTTCAATAAAAAAAAAATAAGTAAACTTTTTATAAATTTAAAATTTAAATGTTGATTGGTTGTACCGGAAAGGATTTCCTTGATTGCAGTGTTTCTCCCATGAGATTTTCCAGACAAGAAGATCAGGCACATGCTTTTAAGACGTCCTGGGAGAATTCTCTCTCCTTAGACTCCTATATAGAGTAGGCAGTTTAAATATTTTATCATTTGAATCTAAATCAACTATTGATCGGACCAAACTGGTATTTTTTTTTTTTTTTTTTCATCTATCGAGAAAACCAACTCATTTTCAATATTATTTATATAACTTTAAAACAATTACTATTTTTTCAATTCAAATCATCGAATTTTGAAAAATTATTATTATTATTTTCAGAATGTAATAGAAAAAAATTTTTTAATTATCAAAAAAAATTTAATTTTTTTTATTAATTTGATTAATAATATTTTTCAAAAAACATGTTATTAACAAAGTATGCAAAAATTTATCGATAAAAAAATTATGTATGAAAAAAAAGGAAATTAATTTTTTTTTTTTCAATCTCTCAGAAATATTTTTAATAACAAACAATCAATTTTTAAATATGGTTGAGAATTAATTTTTTTCTCTCAAAAAATTTTTCTATTAATAAAAAATGATTGAAAAAAATAAATATAAAAATTTTATTTCAAATTTCTTATATGAGAATTTTTTTGTTTTTTTTATATAAAAATTAATAAAATATAAAAAAAAAATTCCAAAAAAATTGATGAATTAATTTTCTGTCGCGCTATTGAATGTGTCCGGACTTTTTGAAGTATCGAAAAAAAATAAATAATAAAAAGAGAGAGAAAAAAAATAAATATATATATATATATATTGAAGAATTGGTGTGAAATTTCCCTAAAGTTCAGTGCACATAAATTTAGAGGGCTTTTAATTAAAATCATCAATAATTCAAGAGGTGTGTGCACGAAAATTTCCAAAGGCTCTCAACTTGGAATTGCGGAAAATACTACTACTACTATCACTATCACTACTACTACAAATTCGCGTATGCGAAAAAAAAAATTTTTCATCGCGACTCTGATAAAATTTTTATTATTTTTCTTTCTATTTTTTTTTTGTTCATCCGCCAATTTATCAATTCGGTCAAGTTTTTTTTTTCACTCGATATATAAAAAATTAAAAAAAAAAGTAAAAAAAAAATTTGAAAAATTTGATACTACCTCGCGTGCATAAAAAGACAAGTTGCCATAAAATACATCGACTCTATCAAGATGCAATCTTTTCAAAGTGGAAAGTCATTTTTATCTCGGTTGGATGTAAAAATTGACCGATCAATGAGGTGATTGATCGTCTCGAAAAATGAACTTTCTGTGAACTCATATCGTCCACTCTCTAAAATTCATTGTATGTCGAATAATAAATTTTTGCTCAGCCTGGCGCACTCTCGCGTCATTATTTTACATTAATTTCTTATCCGGTAAGGTAGAACTCTGAAAAATTGATTTTTTGCCTAATTTTTATTTTATTTTTTAATTATTTTTTAAAAAATTTCAATAATAATAATAATAATGATAATAATAATAATAATAATAATATAAGTAATTACATTTTTTTTTAAGAGATACAAAAATCACATTTTTTACACTTTTTTCAATACTTCATTGAAAAAAACTAGAAGAAATATAGAAAAAAATATTTTTTAAAAACGGTAATTTTTTGAAAACTGAAAAAAAATTTTTTTTAACTATTTAAAAAAACATTTTCCTAAAGAAATAAATAAAATTCTTTTTTTATAATTTTAAAAAATTACAGTAAAAAAAATTAGGGTTTATTCGGAAATACCAACTTTGGTTTTTGAGGTTATTTAAATTTTTTGGCTAACCTTACGTTTAAAAAAAAGGAAATTTTGTCCTGAAACTTTAGGAAATATAAAAGTAAATTAAAAACAACGTGCCTACATTTTCATTTTATTAAAATAGGCAAAAAAAAATTTTTTTTCTTCCCAAAAAATATACTACAGTCGGTAAAGTAGATTTCTCAAATTTTTTAAAAATACTTCTGCGAATTAAAATTTCAGCAAAAAATATATTCGAAGGCACTTTGTTTCTATTTCCATTCTCAAAAGTGGTGGAACCAAAGTATTCTCTATTTTCTCTCAAAAATTAAAAGAAAAATAGTTATCAAATTTTTCGCACAAATTATGTTTGAACGAAATGAAATTTTATTTTGTAACTTTTTGGGAAACATAAAATTTGGCTAAAAACAAGGTGCCTCCACTTTTTTTTCTATCGAAATTCGTAAAAAAGTTTATTTAGAAAAATGTATCGCGGTCGCTAATGTAGATTCCTAACTGTAATTTAAAAAACTTATCGCAAATTGTAACAAAAAACAGCATTTATTTTGGTTTTTAGTCTTCCTCTTCGTTTCCTTTTTAGAATAAAATTTCACTTTATTTAATCAAGAAAAAAATAATAATGTAACCAAATTTTTGGCACGAATTACGTTTAAACGAAGTAAAATTTTATCTTAAATTTTTCTTGGAAACATGGAATTTGATTCGAAAACAAGGTGCCTCCACTTTTATTCTATCGAAATTCATAAAAAAATTATTAAAAAAATATATCGCGGTCGGTAAAGTAGATTTCTAGCTTAATTTATAAAAATTCTTCTCTCACATTGTAATTGCAAGAAAAAACTGCGGTTTCTTTCATTTTTCGCCTTCTTTTTCGTTTTTTAAACTTGCACTTTATTTAACCAATAAAAAAAAGAGAATTCTGTATTAAAATTTTTCTCCCATCTTACGTTAAAACGAAACAAAATTTCTTCCTAAAACTTCGGGAAGCTTAAAATTTAGTCAAAAACAACGTGCCTTTACTTCCATTTTGTCAAAAAAAAAAAAAAAAATTCGCAAAAATATACGGCAGTCGGTAAAGTAGACATTTTACTAAATAGGAAAGGGAAAGAAAAACCATTTTATAATTCATGAATAATAGATATAATATATTTCATATAATAACGTAAACAATTAATGATTTTGTACAAATGCATATTATTACAGTATACAAAAGAAAAGAACAAAAAAAAAATAATAATGATTCTGGTAAAAATATTATAGTCTAGAGTGTGAAACGAGATGACAAACGTTTTACAGACATTCAATAATAATAATAATAATAATAATAATAATTTTTATATTTTGTATACGAAAAAATGCAAAATATCTCTATTAATAATATACACATTGTTCCTTGAATCTCATTTATCGAACAAAAAAAAAATATATATATATATATATTTGGTAACTTAAAAAAAAATGAAAACCTGAAAAATAATCACACTAATCCATTATGTGTCAGATTCGCAATTGAGAATGAGATTTCGATTAGAAATTCTATTTCCCCATAAGATAGGTATTTTTGTTTTGTTTTTTTTTTTGACACTAAAATCTTTTATAAGTCGTTGTCTCGCGCTTGCGAAATGACAAGAGAGATAGAGAAATAGTGAAAGAGAGTGAGAGAGAGAGACTCGAATTTTTACGGACTTTAACATCCGAATATAAAAATTTCACGACTTATATTACTCACACACATACAAATAATGGCCAAGAGTTTTCCGCAAATATACACTTATAGAATCGACAAAAAAAAAAAAAAAATAGGGAAATAAAAATGAAAATCCATCAAAATCTCAAACTACTTTTTTTATCTTGAAGATGAGAAATATACACATTCATTAGAATGGATCGAGAATTTAATTATACATTTATAAAGCCGTAGGAGATTTACATTTATGAGACACATATTTAGAAACAATTATTATAGTTATTTACACATGATCACTGTCCTTTTGGACAAACAAAAAAAAAACTGAAAATAACTTTGGTAATTCACTTTGAGGCGTGAAAATATTCAACGATTCTTTGGAATTTTCCATGATGAATAATAATAATAAAAAAAAATAATATTAATAATAATATTAAGTATAATTATTATTATAAATATAATAATAAGTATAATTATAATAATAATTATAATTACAATAATAATTATAATAAAGAGTTTGTAGAATTTTCTCTCTTAAAAAAAAAAAATTTTTTTTTTAATATTAGAGAAAAATGGCACGTGTGAAAAAAGAAATTGAGGAGGGAAATAATCCCCCCATCCAAAATTGTTATCTTCGATGATCAAAATAATTTTTACTATTGAGAAGAGTTGCTTTAAGAATGAGAGAATTTTCACCAGACTCTTCATCATCCGATGATGATGATGATGATGACAATAGTAATTTATTTTTTTCATTAATTTTATGTTTCCAAAGTTTATGAAGTAATAATGAAGCACGACTGTGATAAGGATTAAAAATTTGTCCTCTCGCTGGTGCATCAATTGGACATGAGAAACATTTCATATTTCTTTGTAAATATCCTTTTTGTTGTTTTTGATATTTTTCCCTTAATTTCTGCAAATCGTCCATTAATTCCAAATCATCATTATCATTATCATCATTATTAACATTTGGTATGATGCAATTTTCTTCGATAATCATTTTGTGAAGCACTTTCCTCGGTTGACTCTGCTTTCGTCTTCTTTGGGCATTACTCAGGTCACTGTATTTTTTATTTTTCCAAAACAAAAACAAAAAAAAGGAAAACAATTTTAATATAAAATTTATTTTTTTTCATTATCAGCGTCCCTCATAGATTGAAGGTTCGTGTGAAATTCAAGGTCGTCCTTGTCGTCCAAGCAGCTGCAACGCCATCTGACGGAGGTGACGCTATGGTTGCCGTCGTTGTGGTGAAGTTTACCATCTCGTGGCTGCAACCACCGCGGCACTGTTCCATAAGTTACGTTCAATAATAAATTATGAATTTAGAAATAGAAAATTGTCCCTTTTTCTTTTCTTTATTTTTTTCAATTGGAAAAATTAAGAAAGAGACGAAAAAATGTTTTTTTTTCTATCTATGTATATATAGAAAACAGCAATAAATATAAATATATGTAAAAAGTAACAAAAACGAACAGGCGTGCAGCTACTGATGCGACGACAATAAACAAGGACCTTGGCAATAAAAATTAATTTGTGATAAACATTTATATATAAAAACTGAAAACATTCAAAAACATAAAATGAAAAAGTGAAAAAATTCGACAAATAAAAATCAAAATATTCTAGCTTTATTAGGATTGAGGTCCTAACATAACCTCAAAATTGAAAAATGGTTTTTAACGCTAAAAATTTTAAAAGATCTAAACCATTTTTTAGTTTTGAGGTTATGTTAGAGCCACTATCCTCTTTAATGTGTTTTAAAAAAAAAATACGAACATAAAATTTTTTTTTCACAACTGTACACAAAGAAAACAAAATAATTGCTGTAGAAAGAAATTTTTCTTTTTGAAATAATTAAGAAACAGAATTTATTGTTTCGATTTTTTTGAATCAAAGAAATTATTTTTTTTCAATGTGTAAAAGTGAAAAAAAAATACATAACCTAAATAGAAACTTAAAAATTAAAAGTGTAATCTAAAAATAAAAATAACACTTAAAAATAAAAAAAATAAAATAAAAATAAAAAATAACATTTAAAAATAAAAAATAATTTGCTAAAAATTGACATTAAGGTACACGATTATACTTTTTGGACAAAATCACACGCCAGATGAATTTTCACGAATTGGGTCGTGATTAATTTCATTAGCTCTACCATAGATTCCGTTTCAACTGTTTCAAAATTTATAGAATGAGCCAATGAAAAATTCAACAATTCGTGAAGATCGATTATTATTATTGTACTGGTGATTTTGTTCAAAATAGAATTTTAAGTATAAAAACACCTTTATAATCAAAAATTCCAATTAAGGGCATTTTTTTACAATTTTTAAAAATTAATTAAAAAGAAAAACGATTCGATATCATTTTCTACAGGAGTTTTAGGATCAAGTTAGGTTTGAGGTTAGGTTAGGCTCAAAGTTAAAAGTTAGGTTAGGTTAGGTTTTACGCTTATGATTTGAGGTTAGGTTACACGTGGAAATAAAAATTCATGGTTACTTTGGGCATTTGAATTTTAGGTTAGGTTACACCCAGAAAAATGTTTCTTTAAATCAAAGAAATATTTCCTTTATATAGAGTCAAAGAAAAGTTTTCTTTAATTTAAAGATAATTTATTTGATTCAAAAAAAAAAATTTATTTAATTTAAAGAAATAGTTTTTCAATTAAAAAGTTTTATTTAGTATAAAAAAATTTTCTTTAAAATAAAATTTTCTTTAAATCAAATAAATTTTCTTCAAACCAAATAAATTTTCTTTAAACCAAATAAATTTTCTTTAAATTAAATAAATTTCCTTTAAATTAAAGAAAACTTTTCTTTGATCCTGTATTAAAGAAATACTTCTTTGATTCAAAGAAACATTTTTCTGGGGTTAGGTTAGGTTGAAGTTGTAGCTGAAGGTTTGAGTTTTTTTCTGGGTGTAGGTTAGGTTACGTTAGGTAAGGTTAGGTTAGGTTAGGTTAGGGTATGTTAGGTTAGGTTAGGTTAGGTTAGGTTAGGTTAGGTTAGGTTAGGTTAGGTTAGGTTAGGTTAGGTTAGGTTAGGTTGAAGTTAAATGTTTGAGGTTATGTTAAATCCCTGTCGAATTTTTGTTATTGAAAATCAGTTTTTTTTTAAATTTCTAACAAACAACGTTAATTAAACCCTTAATTGAGATTTTTGTCTAAAAAGCAAAATTGTGCGTCTTGTAAAAAAATAAAAACAAAAATTTTTAATACATTTTTATATATTAAAAAATATATATATTATTAAATATCATCTCATGGTACAATAAGATTTTCACTATGAGAAACTTTCAACAGATCTGATTACACGACAAACTGATTAATTCACTTGCACAACTTCATTATATTCTCTCTTATATAGACACGGAAACTCTTCTCACTGTACCATAAGAGAGGGATATAGAGAGAAAGAGAGAGAGAGACAGAGAGGGAAATGGAAAGTTATATAAAACTTTTGCGGTCGTTCACTGAGACGAAAAATAATTTTCCAAAGGGAAACGAAAACTTTATTTGCCCTTTGACTTGAAATTAATTAGAAATCATCAAGAATGGATAAAATGGAAATTGTTCATACAATAGAGAGAATGGGTGAAAATTTCAAAATTACCAGTATCAAAATGTTATTATATTAATTAAAAATTTACATTAAGATATTATTATGGCAAGATAGGGATCATTAAAATATTTTCTTTCTCTCTATTTCTCGAATAAAAAATGAGCATGCAAAAATAATATTATTTTATAAAATAATAATAATAATAATACTGAAAGCGAGAAAACGTTACCAAAAACGAGTAGAATATATTTATAACCTACCCAAGAATTGTATTTGGAGGAATAATTGTTGTTGAAGGTACTATTGCTGATGCTGGAGCTGGAAAAACAGGTGGTCCTGGTGGTGGTCGTCCTCCACCAACGGGGCTGTAAATTTTAAAATACGGTTTCAAAAAAAAAACGACAAGAAATTTTGAAATTGAAAACAGAACAAATAAAACAAAATTAATTTAACAGATTAAAATTAGAAATTTACTGCAAAGGTTGTTGTTGTTGCTGCTGCTGTTGTTGTTGTTGCTGATGACGATTTTGTGTTTGCGATTGAGCTGATGTTGGTGAGGAGGCAACAGATGCTGATGAACTAGTGGTTGTGACTCGATGAACGTGTAATTGATGTACCTGTAATTGTGCCGCATCCTCTGCCAAGAAAGAACATCTTGAGCATTGTCTTCTATTGTGTACCTTGAGAACATGAGTCGCTAAACGTTCAGCACGCGCTGCTTTATATTCGCAAAGTGTACAGGCAAATGGTTTCAAATGTGTGTTAAGATGTCGTTTCAAACACCAATTGTCAACACCACTCCACGAACAATAGCAACAGGTGTACCTGAAATCAGAAAGAAAAATTAATTCCTCATATATACCAAAGACTTCTTCAAAAATTATTAAAATCATCTTTAGCATATAGAGAAAGAGAAATTTCTCAATTCATTATTATGACAAAATTTTAATGGATTATTAAAATCCAATATAGCGAAAAAGAGAATGAAATACAGAAATTCATTTTCAGTGTGGGTTTAATTTAAAAAAGTAGATATATGTATCCACGGTGGCAATTTTGCAAAACGGGTGGCTCTCTCTATTTGTCTTTAAAGCGGGTGACCAGAAGTCTTGATGATGAATGGGAACACAAGCTGTGCGCATGATAATATTCCGTTAACTAGACGAAAACATCATGAAAGGCATATATGAGAAAGAGGCAGAGAGAGAGAGAGAATCAGTTTGTTAAAATCACGTCTAAATTTTCCACATTGATTAACGAGCATCCACGTGTGTCGATTGAATTTAAACCACACACGTGTGTGCAACTAGAATCAATATATTTGCAAAAAATTTAAACCAAAAGTCTTCAGATTTTTTTGTGAATTTTAAAAGGTATCAAAATAGATTAGAAATATGTATTTAGATTCTAATTGAGATCCTAATAAATCTAAATCAGTTCCTGAAATTAGGGAAAATATTTGAGACTTGGGTTTTTTTACCTTGTGTTTTAAATTCTGATTCTGTATACAAAAACTAATTTGTTTCTAAAACTAAAATTCTTGATACATTCACTGTAAAAAGAAGGTACTAAAATAGTACCGATTTTAGGTATTAAAATAGAACCAAAAGGCAATTTAGTACCTAAAGTTGGTACTAAATTAATAACTTTCGTTTTACAGTGTTAGAGCTTTTAGGGTGAAAAATTCGAAATTTTGTATAAATCCGAATAAAATCGATATTAGGCTAATGTATATTTTAATATATATTCGCGAAGCAAATCCCGATGAGATCAAAAGCAATTCTCAAAGGAACAATATAAACTTAGGTCTAATTTCACGTATACCTAAATAACTAATTTGAATATCAAGTAAATATATATATATATATATATACCTTCTCTCTTGTGCTCCTTTAGATCCCCCTTTAAGATGGCTTTTGCTATTGCAACCGCCATTCTGAATTCTCCTCCCACTGCAATTTGCTTCTGGTTGCATGATACCGGGCGTAGGCATATTGTTGGTCGTCGTCGTCGTCGTTGTTGTCTGATAAAGAGCTGTGTTATTCGCTCCTGATGCTGAATTAGACTGTAGCTGATAACCCTTGTTATTGTTATATCCCGAGGGATAAGTGGCGTGCTGCTGTTGCTGTTGTTGCTGCTGCTGCTGTTGTTGTTGTTGTTGTTGCTGCTGCTGTTGATTGTTAGTAGTTCCAGTTGAGCTTGTATCTTGCTGTATTGGCTTTGGTGTACTTGTACTACCAGGTGGACGACGAATTCTCGATAATTCATAGACATGTTCCCTGTGCATTCGTAGAAAATGCTTCTTCACATGATCAGCTCTATTAAATGGCTTATAACAAATGTAACAGTGAAATGGTTTCTCCTCACGATGTATATTCTCGTGACGTGTATAAAGATCACGTCTATCCGTACCGTAGGGACAAAATGGACATGTGTAACGTTTACCGCTAGCCACCACTGGACTTGTACTCGTCATACTTGCTGAATTCTGTTGAAAACAAAAATTGAAATTTATGTGTTAGAGGACATTTTTTTGGGTGCGGGAAAAATTTTTGGGAGTTATTTAAAAAGTTATAGCTTCGTATGGGAGGATTAAGAAATAGGGATGATGAGAAATACAAATATGGTAGCCACTACGGATGATGTCTGATTTTGGAGGATAGCAAATGAGGATAACAAATACAAATGCTAACAACTACGGATGATATCTGATTTTGGAAGTTAGCAAATGTAATTTTTAACAAATACAAATGACAACAGCTACGGATGACAACTATACGGATGGTATCCTAAAGAAGAGGGATAATAAAAAATTAATTCAAAAAATAAACGACTACCCTAAAAAAGCTGATGGTAATAAGAACAAAACCAAAATGAATACAGAAAATAAACGTAAACTATACATTGGGGAATGGTGTAGGGCTGTTAAAAAATTTGTAGAATGGCAATTTTAAATGGCAGATGGGAATGTTTTTCATGAGGAAAAAAAAAGAGGAAAATAGAAAAGAAGGATTCAATCGTTTAAAGAGACTCTAGAGAAGAGAGTTTGTATTTTGTAGCGAGGGAGAGAGAGAAAAAAAAAGAGATTCCGATTAAGAGTTGGTATTTAGTTGCCTCTTCGTTAAGTCCATTTGGAGCTCATTCGATTTTCAACGAGACAATAAAACTCTTCTCTCTCTCTCTACTGTATGTTTGGTCGTCGAGGGTTAAAAGGAGAGTTGCCCAATGAAGTGGTTTGGCCACCTGCCAAATCAATTTACCAGACTCCGGAACAATCTCTATGGCTTAATAGAAATTCTGCATAATGTTATCCAAGAGTCAACAGATTGGTTTTCATTTTGACAAACACCTTTCTTTTTTTAGCATTTTTTTTTAAATACCTTCTATTTTTTTTGAAAATATCTTTTTTAAAATCTTTTTCTAAAAAATTTTTTTTTCAGAAAGGGTTTGAAAAGAATGTGTCAAAGGATATATAATAATGTCATCAAGATATATATATGTTGAGAGAGTTGTTTTTGAGAATAAAGTGCGTGGTGATTCGAAAAGAATATATATGAGAAAGGGAACTGGCAATGACTCTTGGGAAATCAGTGACACGTGGGAAATTCTCACTGACGTTCATACTGGTCATTCGCGTGATGCATACAATTTTTATTATTTTCCTTTTTTTTTTGGTATTCTTTTCATTTTACATTTCTTGCACTCTCTTTCTCTCTCACTTTTATATCCCACGTGACTTCCATACGGTAATAGGACAAACAAAAGTGCTGCACGGTACATTTCACATTGGGAAAGAGAGAAAGAGACACACGAAGGGGTGAAAAATGAGTAGGATTACGAATGCATCAACCTCTTTATAGTGAAATTTCTCTTGAAATTCTCATAAAACTTATAATTACTTTAGCATAAAATCCATGACAGTAATATATTCACGATTAATTTTTTTGTATTCACATTTGGATGACACACTTCACTATTTTTAAATTTTTTTCATCGAAGGAAAAAATAATTTTTCGAAATTAATATTAAAAGGAAGAGAAATTTTTTTTACCTGATGTAAATGTTGAGAGACCGGTGCTGATGGTAATTCCTGTAGTAGAAATGTGGAAGTGGCAGGAAGTAATGTTGCTGGGACTGTTTGTGTTTCTTGTGTTCTACGCGAAGGTGGCGCAGATCTTTCGGCCCTATCTCGCACCCTTTCCAGGTAGGTAACAACGTCCTCAAGTTTCAGTTCGATGTGCAGGTAATCTTTACGAGTCGAATGATGTCTACTCCTCGTGTCGTCTCCAATGATCCTTGAGGAATGCAATTCATAAAAGTGTTCGGCTACCTCTCGAGGCCCCCCACCCATTAAGTCACCTGCACACAAAAATATAGAGAGGCGGTAAAATTATTCTCCATCCGCTTTATACAAAGCCCCCTCACTAAATATATAGTTTTGACCCCGAAAAAAAAAATAATAATAATAGGTAATGAAAAATATTTGGATTTAAAATCAGTACAGAATAATTAGAATCTGTAAATTCACTATTGGGTGGGAAATTAGAATTGTATTAAGAATTTGATGGGAAATTAAAAACAAGGAATTTAGAATTGGGTTTGAAGCATAAAAGAAATAAACAGAAGTTGTGGCTAATTTTGATGAGAATACACAATCCGTTAGAATTCAAAATCAGTTGATAAAATTGGGTCATTGGGTGAAAAATTTGATTATAAGCCTTATTCACTTGATCTAATTTTGAAAAATTTACAATCTGTACCCAGTTTCTAAAATTGATACAGATTCCAACTTACCACACTCGTAGCATCTCCAGGTGGTTTTTGTCGAGTGATAGGCAGCAATTCGACTGCCATCAGTTCCCTTAAGTGGTTCATCATCACATGTCCAATCATCGCTGAGATCAGTGCCATTGTCCGTATCATCTTCAGTCTTATAAGACACTGAAGTCTCAAATTCGTTTTGTACACTTGAGGCTGTAAAATAAATCAAAATTTTAGGTATAGATTTTATAAATATACAATATACATATTTTTTAAATAGATATGGATTATATAGATATACAGTGATTATATAATCCAGTTGGGGATGTGCATTAGCGATGACATAGCAAGTAGTGTGCCTTCTGACTAGTAGCTTGGGGGTGCTTGATACCCCAATTAGTCTGAGGCTCTTGGATAGTCAGTACATATTACGAAGATACAGGTATCGAGTATCCGCAATGTGTACAATGTTCCAAATGCTCTACGTGCTATGTTAGTATTAGTATTAGCTATTGATTACATTAATCACTGCAATCAAAATTGAGTGTGAGAGAGAGAGAGAGAGACACGCACACACTAATGATAAGGATTTGCAATTCCCCGCTAATCGAGAATCTATATGTTAATTTTGACAAGGACCGTGTTTCAAATTCAATTAATTTCTTTATATTCTTCTGATCAAAGACTTTTCTCTATGTTTAATTAACTTTTTTAATACATAGATCTAAAACTTTGAAAATAATTCTTTAGATTTTAGTCCTATATCCAATGTTATACAGTGAAAACGTTTAAAATTTTAAATAATTATTTGATTGTTATCAAATGTATTTAAATTAAGGATTGGAAATAAAGAAAATAGTATTTTTAACACGGAAAAAAAAATTTACCTGGCAACAACGAAAGGTTTTACTAGAATAGCGAAAGATTTAATTGAAACAAGTAAAATTATTGCTACTATAGTAAAATGTTTCACTGTTTCAAAATTTTTTTTTTCCATGTAGAAAAGGAAACGAAAATTTGGTTTTTTGTGTAAAACTTGGAAAAATTTTGAAAAACTGAAGAAAAAAAAATTACACTTACTTCTGTGATCGGGATCCTCGCCGTAGAGTTTTCTGGTAATTTCCTTAAACATATCCTCGTAACAGTCGAGACGACCGATACCCGGTCCTCCACCCTCCATTATTGTTTTGGAATTTCAGTTGAGAGCCACTGTTTTTGAAGAGACCCTCGAGAAATCCTCCTCCTCCTCCTTCACCCCAGCACCACCCCCTGGGTCCTTGTATACAACCTTCCCTCGGTTACCTGATGTACCGTTAAATTACTGGATAAGTTTTCCTCTTTTGCAGCTTACAAATATAAAGTCTGGGATCTTTATTTTCTCAATTTTTAAATTTTCACATTTTTCCATTTGAAAAAAAAAATTTATTAAAAAAAAAAATTTGTAATTTTATATTGAAATCATTTAAAAAATAATTATTTTCTTTCTTTGAATAAAATTCAATATAAGGGATTATCCTCTTAAAATCTCCCCCCACCCCCCTTTTCCCCTTCTTTTTAGAGTCATAAATATTCTAGAATGTAAATCCTTTACAATAATATATGCTTCTCGACAATACGAGAGACTTGTGTATATTCAATTTGTAAACGAGAAAGTATAATCACAATAGAGGGAAGAAAATTGTGAGGGAAGTGTTTTTTTGTTGAAATTCTGTATTCTTATTATTATATACACAAGTTCTAAATGCAAATTTTTTTTTCACAATTGCATAAGGTTTTTTTTTTGATTGAACTATTTTCTTTTAACTAAAAAGGAGAAAAAACATTTATTTGGATTCAAATAATCGAGTATTATCAAAATAGCTATTTTAAATATAATTTTATTTGAGTCAATTAAATGGTATTTGTTTCAAATACAGAAATTAACAATTTTATTATAGATATAATTATTTTTTTAGACAAATTTTCATTTCTTAAATTTGTCAGAATTTCTTTTTTAGAGAATTTTTAGGTTTGTTCGGTCATTTGCAATTTTGGACAAATAAAAATTCGACGTTTTAAGAATATTATAAAAAAAAAATTCCTTGCCTAAAAATTCAGTTAATTAAAAATGTTTTATTAAATTTTCCACTTTCAAATATGTGAAAATAAAAACCATTTTTAAATATTTCTGTATATATTTGTTTTAAATTATTTTTGATAATCATTTTTTTGGGTCAACTGAAATCTGGGTTGATACATATATATATATATATATATATATATATGAGAGAGAGAGAGAATTGATAAATAATAATGGAGAAAATTGGTGAAAATATATATTGATATAACAGACGAACGTATTTGTAAACTCATTCGCACATGAAAATGACGCAATTTATTTCAATTTAGAAGCTTGAAAATTTGTTCCAAATTGAAATTTTATAAAAATTAAATAACATTTAATTTTTTTTTTTTTTTTGTATTTTACGCCTGAGAGAGAATTTCAAAACGAATTAAAACTTGAGACTAATTCAAATTATATAACATTTAATCGTATTGCATCTCAATAGTACGCTTCCTCCTTCCTTAATCCATCTTAACACCCTGTTTTCAAGAAGTGCCGCAGTAATATGTACATGTATATATATATATACTTTTTCAACCTGTGACATCCTATCAGCCATTTTACCCCGCAGGCGATAGTTAAGTCACCCCGTTAGTTTCTCCACTCATCTATATATATATATATGTGAGATATTTGCAAAGTCGTTATAGCGCCTTGCCTCACTAAGTTTGCACCATGAATGCGATTCAATTCTCATTTGGTTTGAAACTGGTACTTTCTATACCTGAGCTTTGAAACACGCCTTCGGGACTTTGGTCTAGCTGATGCACTGTGGTTTACCCGAAGCTATACATATGGCACTATATATATATATATATGTGTGTGTATTGCAAGTGTATGCCTTTGTGCCAAAATTAGTATTCGCTGTGAGAGCATAGTACTCGCGTCACTTTGAAATCGATATATATATATATATATATATGTTATCCCATTCTATATAGACAATCATTCACACGTTATATGTATGTGTATATGTTTATGTTGTGTGTGAATTCAGAGACCGCTAAAATGTTTAGTGGTCACGCGTGGCAAATCACACACAGTGCTATATGAAAATCATGCTTACGTTTCACTTTAGACTGCGTATATGAATATACGTATTTCTGTATCATGATTTTGATAAAGATAGTATACTCTGATTGTGAATTCAATGAGTTAAATTTTTCATTTAATAACGAGGAATATTTTTTTAAAATTGAAGGAATTTATTTTAAATTTGTTATTTATGAGCTATGGGGATTATTTGTTAAAATTCTGATGGCGAATTTGTAATCAGCGACCCTCAAAAACCCCCAAGTAACAAGTTTCAAGTGGATTTGATCAGTTTTAAACAAAATTCCGCCGCCATATTGGATCCGTCATTTTGACTTTTGGAAAACAGACATCGGATTTGTAATCAGCGACCCTGAGTAACAAGTTTTAAGTGGATTTTATCAATATTAAAAATTCCGCCGCCATAAATTTTATGGAACAAATATAATTTAACAATTTTAAGAATCGACTTGAAAAATTGTTTTAAATGTTATGGAACAAACATAACACAGTTTTCTGAGGCTCTCAAATTGAGACCATAAACAGCATCAAAACTTTGTATTATCAACAATTTGATACACTTTATGGTCTCAATTTGATATCATCAGAAGAACTGTGAACCTAAAAATTTAAAGATCGATTTTAAAAATTATTTTAAATGTTATGGAACAAACATAACCTAAAAATTGAAAGAATCGACTTGAAAATTTGCTTAAAACTTTATGGAACGAACATAACCTAGAAATTTAGGTTAGTTAATCAAAAGTCAAAATTTAAAACGATAGAGATTAAAGGGAATAGGGATTAAAATGAAATTTATAAGATATAAAAAAACATATCCTTTCTCAATTCACAATCGAATCGAGTTTAATATACACAAATGAATTAATCCTAAGGGAACCCTCGTATATTATCCCTTCTCATTTAACATTTAGATATATATATGTATGTATATAATACAATGGCTAAATAACATCTTTTCCCAAAGTGTGCAAAAACCCACTGAACTGAAATTATCCGTAACCATTAAATTACCCCCTAAAGGCTGCTTGAAATCTTTCATGAATCCTCTGTTTCTCTCTCTCTCTCTCTCTCGCTCTCTCTCTCTTGAATGCAAATTCAAGTGGTCCGGAAGTAAATCGTCTGCAATTGGCGACTCATGAATGCACCTCTGGCGTGTAACAACCACAATTACCTACTTCGTGTATGGGAATGATGGTTGTCCCTGCGTCCAAGCAGCGACTGCAAGTGGAGCTGAAAATTGATTTCGATCGGTACGGAAGGACGAGCCGCCAAAACGAAATAAATCCTCTCTCTTACTATATATATATATATATAGTAAGAGAGAGAGAGAGAGAGAGAGAGAGAGAGAGAGAGAGAGCTCATTTCTCCTGCGCACCATATATATACTATTTTCGAGCCATACTGTCCTATGATCCAGAAGGTGATGCGAACACGTTCTATTGATCGAGGGGCAGATTCGCCCTTTACACCAGCTGACGCTGCATCATCCCCCTAACCTTTCTCTTCTTCGTTTCATCCTTCTTCATCCAATCCACGAAGTAGGAAAACAATATTGCTAGGAGGATGAGGAGAAACCCCCTCCCTTCTCCTTCCTTCCTCTTCGATTCCCCCCCACGATTTTGAGGAAGGGTGGAGGGGGGATGTTTCTCCTTACAGCAAAAGAAGGAAAACAATCCCCTTCCTCGAGAAAGAGGAGAAATTACCCTTTTGCACGCGAAGAAGGACCCCCCCCCCCACTTTATAAGGGAAGGAAAACCCCTTTAGGAGAAATTCCTATATCCCCACTCCAGAATTTAGACCATATTCTGTATCCCTTCCCTTTAAGAAGAAGGGATGGATAGGGAGAAAATTCGTTTCTAGAAAGAAAGAAGAACCTTCCCTCTTTTTCCCTCTCCATCGATGAACTTTCCCTTCCAATTTCAACCCCCTTGTACATTTACCCCTCGTTAGGGGAAATTCACCCTCTTGGGAAGGGGAACTTTAAGGGGGAATTTCCCCTCCTAGGGGTACTTCCCCTTACGTCCCCCTTAAAGCTCCCCTTTTCGAGGGGAAATTTCTCCTTACGTGGGGGTAAATGGGGTAGGGGAAATACAATTTTCAAAAAAAAGAGAGAGGGGAGATATAGATTTCAAATGAGGGGAATATATTTTTGAATAGTGGGAGATTTTGTGTGTCCAATGGGAAAGGGGTTGCGCGTCAAATAAATCAATATTCCCCTCTTCTATTAGTCAAGTGTGCGCAACTGCACGTCGATCCCAGGTGCATGTCGGGGCTGCATGTCACAAGCATGAGAAACGAATACATATACTTAGGAAGTGAAGGAGAATTTTCTTCCCTTCTCTATATATGTGAATGTAGGTACAATTCACATACATGTACATTTAGTAGTAGGAAAAAGGATATAAAAATTTCTCTTGGTATTTTTTGAAACTATTTTTTTTTTCTTTCAAGAATATTGTCTTGGTATTTTTTTATGTCGAAGACAAATTTGAGAATCACTGCGAGGGCTTTCAAAATCGAGCTACAGCAGCTGCGATGCAGCGTTGCCAACCGCACACACTAACACACCATTATTATCAAATAACAGACAGGAGAAATTCTCCCTGTCTTGTCGGTCATGTCATGTTGTATCGCGACAAGACAGGAGGAAAATTTTTTTTTTTGAAATTGTTGATAATGTTAGAAGTGTGTAGAATTATTTGTAGAATTTGGGAAAATTTAGAATTTTTGCGAAGATTTATTTATTGTTTGGAAAAAATTCGAAATGAAAATTGGGAAACTTTTTTTTTTTTTTTTTTAGAAATATGTGAATTAAAAATAGTTTCTCGTATATGAGAACGTGGGAAAAAAATTTCTATTAATTTCAAGTATTATTAATTATCAAATCTTTTTGTACCAAAAAAATGTTGAGCTGCAAGGACAGCATTACGCATCAACATATGTGTGACCTTCTTTGGAAAAAAAGAAGAAGTTCTCATTTCTATAAAATCGACTGTGTTTTTCTTATTTCTCTCATTCTCCCCTCTGGGGGGTTCATTTTTCTTTTTTTCTATATATATATATATATTTACTATGCGCATAAAAATCATTCTTTTCTATTATTCTTCACATATGTACCTATCTTTTATACTTTCACAAATTTTACTATCGAAATTTTTAATCATTTATTTGCAATTTCCATTTTTCTATCATAATTTTCATTTATTTGCTCTAAATATAAAATTTTCATTTTTCTTTACTGTCTAAATCTAAATTAGTATAAAAAATTTCAAGAGAAAAAATATTTTTAAACTAACGTAAAATTTAACAAATTGTTTAGTAAAAATTATAAATAATGGTTTATTGAAAATTAACTAATAGTTTAGTAAACTTTAACAAATTGTTCAGTAAAAATTATCCAATAGTTTTGTAAAAAAAAATAAATAATAGTTCAGTAAAATTTATCAACTTTTTAGTAAAATTTAACAATCTCTAAATCTGAATTAGTAAAAATGTTTACTAATTTGAATTAGTGACCCACTTTTTGCTTCTGAATTAGTAAAATTTTACTAATTATTAGTAACTAAATAAATTGTTAAATTTTATATTAGTTAATTTTTACTTCACAATATGCTCTCTAAATCTGAATTAGTAAAAATGTTTACTAATTTGAATTAGTGACTCACTTTTTGCTTCTGAATTAGTAAAATTTTACTAATTATTAGTAACTTTTATTAACAATTAGTAAAATTTAACTAATTCAGAAGCAAAAAGTGAGTCACTAATTCAAATTAGTAAACATTTTTACTAATTCAGATTTAGAGAGCATATTAGTTAGTAACTTTTACTAACAATTAGTAAAATTTAACTAATTCAGAAGCAAAAAGTGAGTCACTAATTCAAATTAGTAAACATTTTTACTAATTCAGATTTAGAGAGCATATTGTGAAGTAAAAATTAACTTATAGTTTAATAAAATATAACAATTTATTTAGTAAAAATTTATCTGATAGTTTAGTCAAAATTAACTAATAGTTCAGTAAAATTTTACAAATTTTGAAGTAAAATTTAACTAATAGTTTAGTGAAATTTACCAAATTGTTTAGTAAAGTTTAACTAATGGTTTAGTAAAATTTAACAAATTGTTTAGTAAAATATAATGAAATATAATGAATTGTAACTAATTCAATGTATATAGTAAAAAAAAATTACCAAATCAAATTAGTTAACAAAATTGTTATCTAATTTAAATTTAGACAGTTTATCTTTTAATTTTAAAGTTTGCAATATTTTTTTTTCTCAACAAAATACTTTTTTTTATCACCAAAACCAAATCATTGGAATAAATTAATTTACTATCAAATCTATCTATATCTGTACATTGAAAAGCAAAATAAATACATAATATTTGCACAGCTATGAATAAAACTTTATGACATATCATTATCTTTTGTTGTTGTCCAAATGTATATGTAAACACATCTCGTGGGAATTGATGAAAAAATTGAGATTTAAGCTAACGCTAATACATAATTTTAATATAACAATAATACAGCAAAAAAAATTGAAATTATATCAAATTATTATTATTATTATTATTATTATTGTTATTATTATTACTATTGTTATTATTATTATTATTATTATTATTATTATTATTATTATTATTATTATTATTATTATTATTATTATTATTATTATTATTATTATTATTATTATTTTTATTTAAGTTCTAGATGTTATATCCATATGGGTCATTTTAAGTGAGATTTACATTCAATTTTTTTTTTTACTGGAACAATTTTTTTTCGAAATCTTTATGAAAAATAAGAAAATATCTATTTTTTTATTTTTTGATTCGATAAAAATTATGGAAGTTATGATTTTTTAAAATTTTAACTTCGTCACAGAGCCGAAAACTAATGAAATACATTTATCTCTGTTCTACTAAGGGATAAATAATAGTATATATATGAAATTTTGTTACATTTTCCTTCAATATTGTAGAAATATAGTAAAAAAAGCGTAACTGCAAGTAATTTTTATTAGTAGAACAAAGAAAAACGTATTTCAAAAGTTTTCGGCCCCTTGACGAAGTTAAATTTAAAAAAAAATCATAACTTCCCTAATATTTATCGAATAAAAAAATAAAAAAATACGTATTTTCTTATTTTTCATAAAAATTTTGAAAAAAAAATTATTCCAGTCACAAGAAAAAAAAAAAAGTTGAATAAAAATTTTATATGGAATATGCTTTATATATCTTTTAGTACTCTCTAAATTTGAATCAGTGGATTTCACTGCTAACCAGTTATAAGTATACCGCACTCTCTAAATCTGAATTAGTAAAAATGTTCACTAATTTCAATTAGTAACTCACTTTTTGCTTCTCAATTAGTAAAATTTTACTAATTATTAGTAACTTTTAACTAATTCTAAAGCAAAAAGTGAGTCACTAATTTAAATTAGTAAACATTTTTACTAATTCAGATTTAGAGAGCAAATCAGTGAAATTTCACTGAACCTATATCAGTCAAATTTCACTGTTTTGGTATACTTATAACTGGTTAGCAGTGAAATTTACTGATTCAAATTTAGAGAGTAAATCATTTTTTGTAGTATTGTAATAACTAACAGACTACATAGTATATTGAATTTGATTTTCAATTTGATTTTCAATCTTAAAATGTTTTTCAATAAATCTTTTTTTGTATTCTATGCATTTACTCCCCATTCGTCCATATAGCAGGAAAAAAAACAACATTCACTCTATATATGCGATCATAGTGTGTATATTATCTCATCTTTTTCTGTATTAAATTCTCACTTTCCCTCTCTCTCTCTCTCCTTCTTTTTCACCAAGACTATATAATAATATGTATGTGCTTCCTTTTTTTTTTTACTTATAATAGGAGAAACGAGAAGAGGACGATTCTTGGACACTACGGCGCACCCGCGCGTTCACATATATTTGTACATGTGTATAGGTTATGGCTGGCACACACAAACACAATGGAGTTCACCCTACACACACACACACGATAGGTCCGATGTTACACACACACACTCTCTTTCTCTCTCCGCACAACCAAACACACTTTGGGGCTCACTTCAAGGTAGAGACACGAGAGAGCGTCACTATACTTTGAACCGTTCACTTTATTCCTTTCCGTATATTATCCCCAAAAAAAAGAATAAAAAAAAATTAAAATTCACTTTTTTTTTTTAACCGAAAGTTGTAAATAAATATAGGGAGCAAAAAATAAATAAAGGGAGTTTGCGCGATGAACGGACATGGCGGTATGAACGACATCAGTGCGCGATTGAGGATTATTAAACGGGGGGTTGGTTTTAAACTGTACTCACTTTTGTTGATGATGATGATAATGATGATGATGATATTTTACGTTGATAAGTGTTTCCAAAGGATATAAATAAATATATCTATATATATATATGTATATAAAAATCGTGTTCGAGGAAAGGTTATGCTGGTTCGGTTGCAGGTTGTTTCCTCGACGGCAGTCGGGTGGCCAGTGGGTGGGCAGGCGGGGTGGCACAGGCCGTCGGTTGGGTGGATGGGTGGAGAGTAGGTGGGTGAGTTCGTTCCTCGTAGGAGGAGTGGGGTGAGGAGACCCAATACCACCCCCTCGCCCATTCAGTCCTGCAGTATTAGGGGGAGTTGAGTCGAGCCCGTTGGCTGCCTCTCCCTCCTCAAAATGTGAACACATATATATGTGTGTCTATATATATATATGTATATATGAGGGCTTAGAATGTAGACCTCTCCCTTTGGTTTCACTTTATGTTCTTCGAATATTTTCTCCTTGTGTGCGAGTAGCTATATGAGCCCCTGAATCCCTTCCTCCCCTTTTTCCTTCTTCTCACACATATGCATAGGAATAAACATGTGCCAGACGTAGCACACACTAGTGTTCGTCGAAGATGTGTCCATGCACGTGTTTCTTGACTTCCTTCTCCCTTACGCTTTCTCCCCACTATATATATATATATATACCTCTTTTGTACTATATATATGTATATATAGTAGAAAAGAGGGTGATGAGACAGAGGGAAAAATGTTCTATGCACTTTCGAAATTTTATTCATCCTTTAGATTCGGCGAATATAATTTTTTTTTTCCGATATTGGTTCGGGAATAAAATTATTTCGTAACTAGATTATTAGATAATAAAATAGTAAAATAGATAATAAAGTAGATAATAAATTGTTGGATGGTAAAATTATCTTTTCGAAAAAAGAAATATTTTTTGTTTTGAAGCCATTTATGGTAGATGAAAGAAAAGAGGGAAAATCTTCTTTGAATCCCGCACTGGATTTTATTATCATAGGAGAGAGATTATTATTATCTGTTAATAATGTCGGTTCCCTTAAGGCAAGTGTCGATACAGGGTGGAAAAGATTTCTACCTTACCGACGATACTCGGTAGGTAAGTGCAAAAGTAGTACTGCTCATAGCCACTAGGGGTTTTTTTCCCTAAAATGTGACAAGAAAAAAAGAATTTAAACGAAATACAATAGTAAAGAAATTAAGCAATTTAAATATAGGGGAAAAATGTATTATTTCAAAATAGTAAGAGAAACAGTTTTTTTTTTCTATACTTCTATCGACTTTTACTAGGTTATATACTTTTTTTCTCCATTTAAAGAGACGCTACTCCCATCTGACGTGAATTTCCTGAACCAACTCGTTAAAATCTGTTTTATTGGCTTATTTTTGAAAAATACGATTTTATTGATTTGTTGTTGTATTTAAGGTCTTTTAATATATTTCTATGTATTTTCCTTCCAAAGCAAAATTTTTTACGCTTGGATTTTAGGAAAAGAACCTATTTTTACACTAAATCGAAAAATGCGGAAAAAATTCTAAATTTTGAAATTAGATAAAAAAAATAGACAATAGGCTATAAGGAATTTTTGAGGGAAAATTAAAAAAATTTTTCTTTAAACCGGAAGCACACTTGACCCCGATATAAAATACTGGATAAATAATATTTAATGATTTTAGAATTTCTTTTTTGCACTCGCATCATTTTTTTTTTTATCGAACAATCATTTTATACTTTGAAGGGAAAAATTATTTGACTATCAAGATATGTAATAACTGCGCTATAACATTCGGGTCACGCAATTCTAACAAATCGCGCCGATAAAAACGCTAATATTTATGCTAATGAAAAGCGTGTTAGAGAAAAGATGGTGGAAACATTTTCATAGAATTTTTTTTTTTTTTTTTTTTAATGACCACTAAGAAAATTGTTTGCATTATTTATTATTAAAAAAAAGAAAGAAAGAACAGGTGAAATCTTATTTTAAAGTTAATTTTCTTAGCCTTGAGAGTGGATTTTTTTTTTCAAGAAAACTATTTAATTATACTGTTTCAATTAAATTGAGATTTTTATCTATGTAACTTTAAAAGAATGATTTTGACGTTATTTTGTGATGAAAAATAATTTATTTTTATTATTATTATTATAATTTTTAGCAACATAAAAAACACTTTTTGATGAATTATTCTGCTTAATATAAGAAAGTTTAAGAGGATATAGATAAAAAAAACCTCTTTAGTCAATGACTCTTGCGATTTATATTATAAAACAATAAAGGTGTGAAACTTGTGAAATTTCAATTAAAAGTTTTAAGATTATATAAGTAGTCTTGATTGGTTGAAAATTTTTTCAAATTACAGACAATAAAATTAGTTCTCTTTTTTTAACCCTTTTTTGTAATTTTGTTACATTTTTTTTTTTTTATTAATAATAATTGCCAAAAAAGTATTTTTTTTTTAAAAAAAACTAAACCGCGAAATTTTTTTTTTATTAATTTATTGAATTTTTAAAATGTTTGTTTTTAATAATTTAATGAAAAATTTTATGAAGTTAGAAAAAAATGTAAATAAATTTTTTTTTTTTTTGATTTTGTTATAAAATCGTAAATAAATAATATAAAATGTAGATGAAAAATTATTCACGACAGTATTATTATGTATTTATATATTTATTTAATGGAGATTTATTTTTCAAAAAAAAAAGAAAAAAAAATGAAAACACGTGGAAGCTATTTGAAACGAGCACACACACACAAACACATACATGTCATGAATAACAATAATTCCAAGAATAAGAAATCAAGCCTCATCGAAAGTGAGGCTTGTGAAATGAAAAATGAAAACAAACCCTCGCGACATCTCAAATGTTTGATGTTCTATATATATTGTATCACACAAGAGGTAAGGGTCCTCTCCACACATTTTTCTCAACCTCTTTCTTTCTCTCTTTTTTTTTATCTCTGTCTTTTTCTTTCTAATATGGGGAATTCCAAGTAATAATTTTATTGAAAAAAAAATTTTTTTTTTGACTTGAATATTTTTTTTCTAAATTTTTGTAAAAAATAAGAAAATACGTATTTTTTTATTTTTTTATTTGATAAATATTAGAGAAGTTATGATTTTTTTTAAATTTAACTACGTCAAGGAGTTGAATAATTTTAAAATGTCCAATATGGATACAATCTCTAAAATTTGAATACGAATTCGGCCGATTAATTCAAATAAGTAAAACTTTTTACTAATTTTTAGAAAAATATTACTTTTTGATTTAGTAATATTTTTTTAAAATCAAGTTTTAGTGAAAAATTGATTAAAAATTTGTAGAAGAAATGAATGAAAATTAGTAGATCAAATCAAATCCATTACTTTATTACTTACAGTCGTTTTATTTATATTATTTATGAAAGTAAACAAAACTTTTAGGTTAGGTTAGGTTTAGATAGGAATTGTTAGATTAGATTAGGAAAGGTTAGGTTTGATTAGGAATTTTTAAGTTAGGTTCAGGTTAGTTAGCAATTGATAGTTTAGATTTCGTTAGGTATTGTTAGATGAAGAATGGTTAGGTTAGGAATAGTTAGGTTAGATTTAGTTATAAATTTTAAGATAAGGTTATGTTATGTTTAGTTAAGAATTTTTGGATTCGGTTTGGTTAGGAATTGTTAGGTTAGGTTTAGTAGGAATTATTAGTTTAGGTTAAGAATGGTAAGGTTAGGTTTAGTTAAGAATTGTTAGGTTAGGTTTTGTTTAGTTAGGAATTTGTAATGTTAGGTTTTATTTAGTTAGGAATTTGATAAGTTAAGTTATGTTTAGTTAGGAATTGTTAGGTTAGCTTAGATTTAATTAGCAATTGTTTGGTTAGGTTGGGAATTGTTAGTTAAGGTTATGTTTAGTTAGAAATTGTTATGTTAGGTTTTGTTTAGTTAGAAATTTTAAGGTTAGGTTTGGTTAGGAATTGTTAGGTTAGGTTTAGTAGGAATTATTAGTTTGGGTTAAGTATGGTAAGGTTAAGTTTAGTTAGGAATTGTTAGGTTAGGTTTTGTTTAGACAAGAATTTTTGGGTTATGTTTGCTTAGGAATAGTTAGGTAAGGTTTAGTAGGAATTATTAGTTCAGGTTAGGAATAGTAAGGTTAGGTTTTGTTTAGTTAGGAATTTGTTATGTTAAGTTATGTTTAGTTAGGAATTGTTAGGTTAGGTTTTGTTTAGTTAGGAATTTGTTAAGTTAAGTTATGTTTAGTTAGGAATTGTTAGGTTAGCTTAGATTTAGTTAGCAATTGTTTTGTTAGGTTGGAAATTGTTAGTTAAGGTTATGTTTAGTTGGAAATTGTTATGTTAGGTTTTGTTTAGTTAGCAATTTTTGGGTTAGGTTTGGTTAGGAATTGTTAGGTTAGGTTTAGTAGGAATTATTAGTTTGGGTTAAGTATGGTAAGGTTAAGTTTAGTTAGGAATTGTTAGGTTAGGTTTTGTTTAGTTAGGAATTTGTTAAGTTAAGTTATGTTTAGTTAGGAATTGTTAGGTTAGGTTTAGTTAGCAATTGTTATGTTATGTTTAGTTAGGAATTGTTAGGTTAGGTTTTGTTTAGTTAGGAATTTGTTAAGTTAAGTTATGTTTAGTTAGGAATTGTTAGGTTAGGTTTTGTCTAGTTAGGAATTTGTTAAGTTAAGTTATGTTTAGTTAGGAATTGTTAGGTTAGGCTAGGTTTAGTTAGCAATTGTTATATTATGTTCAGTTAGGAATTGTTAGGTTAGGTTTTGTTTAGTTAGGAATTTGATATGTTAAGTTATGTTTAGTTAGGAATTGTTAGGTTAGGTTTTGTTTAGTTAGGAATTTGTTAAGTTAAATTATGTTTACTTAGGAATTGTTAAGTTAGGTTAGGTTTAGTTAGCAATTGTTATGTTATGTTTAGTTAGGAATTTCTTACGTTAGGAATTATTAGCCATAACCATGCTAGTGCAATTAAATAAGTTCCTAACCTAAAAATTTTTTTTCGTTTACTTTCATAAAAACTATAAATATAAAAGGATTTTAAGTATGATAAAATTTCTTAATTTAAATATGTTTGTTCATTAAATACAATAATTTCACAGAAAAAACACTGGATAAATTTTGTTGCGGATAATTTTGACCAATGCTAATTCACATATACGGTGGCGCCCCCAACTAGGATAAAATTTGTTGCAGATAATTTTTATACCGATTTTGGGGTAAAAATTCTACTTTTTTTTTAGTGTATATTTAATTCAGTTATGTTGAAAAATTAGTAGGTATATAAGTAAAAAAAAAACTAGTCGAATTTCCCAACAGGAATTTTCGTAAGCATTTTCAGTGGTCAATTCCTAGGAACTTATTATAACTTTAAAAATTATAAAATTTGATTTCTTTAAATATTTCAAAAAAAAATCTTCAACTTTTATAATTTTTATCAAATCAAAAAACAAAAACAAAAAAAATACGTATTTTCTAAATTTTCATAAAGATTTTGAAAAAAAAAAAATTTCTCGTTTTTAAAATGAAAATCTCACGTGGAATGCCCCCTTTGCATATATATATATAGAGAAAATAGTGACTGTAGACCGCAGGCGTGAACGTGCGTGGACATGCGACCTTCGTGAAACGGCGCCGTTGTATATCGGGACGCCCCGCGTCGGCGTCGCCGAGACGGTCTTCGATAGAAGGCAGCACCACCACCACAGAGCAGTGGTGGCCAGGCATTATCAGCAACCGCCATATTGACTGAACTCTGGGTGGCCCACCACGGCACCGTTTCTCAGGTTGAGACATTCGCGAGAATTGTCTCACTTTCGCGTTAAGACAAAAAGAAAGGAAAAAAAAAAAATTTTAATTCTCCCTTATCCCAGTAAGTAATTTCCCCCCACTCCCCCCCCAAAAAAAAAAACAATCCTCCCTCGAGCAGCAAAAAAATAATTTCGAATTTTTTTTGGAGAAAAATTTTTGTGAACAAGTGAAGTGTGAAATTGTTTTTTTTTTTTTGGAAAAATGTGAATTGATGATAATAATTGGTGTCAGGATTGTTAAGAAGAAGAAGTAGAGAAGAAAAATAAAAGTGGGGGAAGAGGAGGAGAAGGAGGAAGAAGAATAAGAAGATTTTAAGAAACGAAAAAAAAAAAAAGGAAAAAAAAAAAAAAAAAAAAAGTGGGGTGCATGTCGTTGCGCTCGTGACCCCGGGATTTCCTCGAAGAGAAGCACCCTTCTAGCACGACGGCAGCGTTGCGACGTTGGTCTCCCTCCGTGTACCGTGGGCGCCAATCAATAACGAGCACAGTCCAACTCAACTTTCTCTCTCTCGCTCTTGCTCTCTTTTCCCATCTCTTTCCCTCCTACCTCTCTCTCTTCCTCTCCTCTCTCTTTCACGGATCCCATCTCTCTCTCTCTTTCTCTCTTTTTCAAACCAGATTCTCACCACCGCAGCCACTACAAGAGCACCCCGAGGCTGTGGGATCAGGAGGAATCAAAAAAAAAAAAAACCTGATTTTCAGTGACAAAATATGTCCGCTGTAAAATTTACCCCATTAGGGGTAAATTTGGAAAAAATGGGTACTAAATCCATTTAGTAAATTCCGGAAGTAGTTTATTTATAATTGAAAAAAGGAAGTTACTAATCAAGTAACTTGTTACTACTTGTTAATAATTGTAACTACTTGTTACTACTTGTAGTAGTCAAGTTACTACTATAGTATACTAAAAATAGTAGCCAAATAATATTTAAAATCCACTAAACAGTGGAAAATCATCATGGACCAAATATGCAAAAATCTGGATTTAATTTAAATCATCATTATCATCATCATCATCTTCTTGGGGAATTATTATTGTTGACGAGCGGATGTGCAGTGAAATATCGCGAGGTGGCGTAGTGTGAAAACGTGTATAAGGGGGGTGTGCAGAGGGAGCATGAGGGCATCGGGCGAGGCCCGTTTAGGTGGTCCATCAGGACCAGGCTGAGGATCATCATCATCATCATTGTTAATCTGAAGGATTTTCATCTTAAGCAACATCTTCATTTGGCATGAAGAAAGAGAGCCTCTTATCTGAAAATTTATATTAAATTAATTTTGAGGGCAAAACTACCCCCACCATAAGGCCCACGAAATTAGGGGCCTCTGATAAATAATATATATATATATAGATAGATCTATATATATATATTAAGAGAGAGGATTATTGTAAGACGCACGCGGGAAGCGAGCTGGACTCGCTCCTAGCGCATGGAACATGATAGAGGTAAGATATATAAATTCGACCCTATTTTTGCGTTCACAATTTTTCTAAATCTCCCCCACTACTCCTTATCCCCCCCTATATCTGTCAAAGAAGTATTGTTATTTTTTCTTTTTTCTTTTAGAAAATTGGATTTTGTTTTGTCTATTCATGTTTGAAGAATTGGCAATTGATTGAAATTTATTTATTTTCGTTCTATTATTATTGTTGTTATTATTATTATATTGCTATTATATTACACGCAAAGAAATGTTTTATTTGAACCAAATATAACATATATATGAGTTAAGTAAACGTAGTTTTGTCTCACAGCCTACTAGGTCTATTTATTTGGCGTAAATAAATTTTTTTTTATTTGAATCAAATAAATATTTATTTATATCAAATAAAAATTTATTTGAATCAAATAAATATTTATTAGGCTCTGAGACACTCTCTAAATCTGAATTAGTAAAAATGTTTACTAATTTAAATTAGTGACTCACTTTTTACTTTAGAATTAGTTAAATTTTACTAATTGTTAGTTAAAGTTACTAATAATTAGTAAAATTTTACTAATTCAGAAGCAAAAAGTGAGTCACTAATTCAAATTAGTAAAAAATTTTACTAATTCAGATTTAGAGAGCAAATTTATAATTTCTTTGAGTGTAGGTATTATTATATTTTATTTTAAATATTAATTTTTTTTTATTGTCAATTTTCTATGGAATGCCCTTATATTATATTTATGGGTCATTTTATACAAAAAAAGCTTCCTTGATTGAAAGAGAATTGAAAATTTTTTTTGATTCAAAGAAATTTTCTTTAAATGAAAGAAATTTATATGCATTAAATCATAAAGAAATTCTAACATTGATATATAGGGCTAAAGAAACATTTCTTTGGATTAAATAAAAAAAAAATGTCTTTGAAAGGAAGATAATTTTTTTTTTTTTGAATCAAAGATAATTTGTTTGTAACAAATAAATTTTTGTTTGTAACAAAGAAAAAGTCAAAAGAAAATTTAAGTCTTTGAATCAATGAATTTGTTTTTCTGAGTATCAGAAACTCTCTAAATTTGAATTAGTAAACATTTTTGACTACACCCAGAGAAATGATTTATTTGAACCAAATAAAATATATTTGAATTAAATAAACGTATATTTGTCTCAGAGCCTACTAACTTATTTATTTGGCGTAAATAAAAATTTTATTTGTCAGAAATAAATTTTTCTTTGGCTCAAATAAATTTTTTATTTCAATGAATTAAAATATATTTGCAACAAATAAATTAGTTAGTAGGCTCGGAGACAAATATACCATTTCTCTGAGTGTAATTTTCATTAGTGCGTCATACTTTTTTGCTTTTGAATAAGTTAAATTTTACTAATTCGATAGGATAAAAATTTTTTTTTTTTTTTACTATTAAATAGTAAAATTTAATTAATTTAAAAGCAGAAAGTGAGTCACATAATTTTAATTTTAATGTTTACTAAGTCAGATGTAGAGAAAAGAGGAACAAAAGAGATTCTAAGCAAAAGAAAAAAAAAAAACAATTTTAAGTGATAATTTTTGCATAAAATGTCAGTTAAAAATGTGTTTTGCTTGGAATCGATTTTTTTTCCTCTTCGTGACTCCTGAATATAGGGAATTTTTTTTTTTTTTTTCGTAATTATGGAATTTCTTTGAAGGAAGTATAATAACAATAATTTCTTTGTAAATTTGTTCGTAATCTAAGTCATTGATTTTTTCATCGATATTTTAGTTTCAATATAGTTTTTTTAACATAAGTAAAAAATTTCTATTTTACAAGTTACACTTTATACTGTTACAAAAAAAAAACAGTGCGTTATTACAAAAAATGACACGTTATCGTTACGTCAAAGTAACACATAAAAATTAAAGAATGAAACATTTTAATTACACTGAAAAAAAATTCTGGTTAGGCTATATTTAACATTACTTTCTAGTTATGTTAACCAGAATTCTAGTTGAATTAACTAGGATTCTCGTTAAAATAACCAGAATTCTGGTTAACCTAACCAGAATCAAAATGTTAAATATACCCTAACCAGAATTCTGGTTATTCTAACTAGAATTTTTTTTCAGTGTAGTTTATTTTGTATTTTAACCAGTAATTTTTAAAAAAATTTGTATTCTTAATTAAATATTATATAATAATAATAAGTATAATATAAACGGAAAAAAAGATTTATCTGAAACAGCGAAAGATTTCGCTAGAATAGCGAAAGATTTAACTGAAACAAGTAAAACTTTCACTACTATAGTGAAATGTTTCGCTGTTCCAGGTAAATGTTTTTTTCAGTGTGTTATATTATAGTTATTATATTATATTATAAATATTATAATATATAATATAATATAATAATAATTGAGTATTAAATATTATAATTTTATATTATTATTATTATTATTATTATTATTTTGAAACTATTAGGATTATTTAAAATTAAGAAATAATAATAAAAATAATTAAAATATATTTATAATAAATTATTAGTTAATTGAGAAATAAATTAAAAATTTTTTGCAAAATTTAAAAAATTGTTTCAATATATAGAATAGTTTCTCAAGTTTGTAGAGTTTAATCAGGCAACAGATCCACCTGTTGGTAAATCTATCTGTTGATTAAGAGTTAATAAGATGCCTTGTACTATGGATATGACCTAGATTAAAACTAAATCTACTATTTTAACACCTCCCTTTTAATCATCGCAACGTTCTTCTGTTTTTTTTTTTTTTTTTATTATTATTATTTTTCTCATTTCTTTTTTTTTTTTATTTTTAATTAAGTAACTCTTCGCTAAGTATGAGAAAAGTATATATATATAAGTATATAAAACTCAATAAACTCAAGTGTTTCGAATGTTGTTAATGATCGAGTTTATGTTCAAGAGTTGTATGTACTTAGCGTTTTCATGCTGAAATTCATTTCCTTCATTTTTTTTTTTTGTTTTTTAATCTTTTAACTTGTCGCTTATACTTTATACTCTGTAGAGTGCATAATAGAAGGAATTACAAAACTTTATATATATAAATCATGAAAAATAAATTAAAGGAACTGAATAAAATATTAAAAGAACTGAAAAATGGAAAAAGAATGGAAATTTTTGTTGAAAATGATATAGGAAACAGTTTTGGAAATAGAATAGATAATTTGGGTTTAAAAACTGGTACTTTAGTCCCTAGGGGTGAAAATTGAAAAAATCGTTCCATTGAAAATTCGGATGCAATTTACTGGAAAAATAGGTTTAGCAATTTTTTTTTAATTGTACACGGAAAAAAAATCTTTATCTGGAACAGCTATATATGTTTATCTAGAACAGCTATACGTTTATCTAAAACAGCTATATGTTTATCTAGAACAGCTATACGTTTATCTAAAACAGCTATATGTTTATCTAAAACAGCTATATGTTTATCTAGAACAGCTATACGTTTATCTAAAACAGCTATATGTTTATCTAGAACAGCTATACGTTTATCTAGAATAGCTATACGTTTATCTAGAACAGCTATACGTTTATCTAAAACAGCTATATGTTTATTTAGAACAGCTATAGGTTTATCTAAAACAGCTATATGTTTATCTAGAACAGCTATACGTTTATCTAAAACAGCTATATGTTTATCTAAAACAGCTATATGTTTATCTAGAACAGCTATACGTTTATCTAAAACAGCTATATGTTTATCTAGAACAGCTATACGTTTATCTAGAATAGCTATACGTTTATCTAGAACAGCTATACGTTTATCTAAAACAGCTATATGTTTATTTAGAACAGCTATAGGTTTATCTAAAACAGCTATATGTTTATCTAGAACAGCTATACGTTTATCTAAAACAGCTATATGTTTATCTAAAACAGCTATATGTTTATCTAAAACAGCTATATGTTTATCTAAAACAGCTATATGTTTATCTAGAACAGCTATACGTTTATCTAGAATAGCTATACGTTTATCTAGAACAGCTATACGTTTATCTAAAACAGCTATATGTTTATTTAGAACAGCTATAGGTTTATCTAAAACAGCTATATGTTTATCTAGAACAGCTATACGTTTATCTAAAACAGCTATATGTTTATCTAAAACAGCTATATGTTTATCTAGAACAGCTATACGTTTATCTAAAACAGCTATATGTTTATCTAGAACAACTAAAACTTTCGCTGTTTTAGAGAAACATTTCGCTGTTCTAAAGCGAAACTTATCGTTGTTCCAGTTAAATGTTTTTTCCATGTGTTTTTATTTTTAATTTCACTTTTTCAAAATATTTTTTATTTCTTTTTTTATTTTGTTATTATTGAATTTTAGTCCTTGTCCACATCATGATAATAATATTGTTTGCATAGATGAACTGGATGTTGGTTATAAAGTAGTCCATCTTGACTTCTATATTAGAGAGAGAGAGAGACCACTGTTTGCTTTGTCTTTCCAAGAAATTAATACACAAAAGATGTTTCAGTCATCAAGATGGTTCTTGACCTCAATCTTCTTATTGATCATGAATTATTCTTCGGTCTCTCGAGTAAACTGAATAATAGTTTAAAAAAAAAAAAAAAAAAAAAAATTCCCCCAACAACTTGTTAAACATTTGATATCATAAAAAACATACTTTTTTTTTTAATCAAAAAAAATAAAATTTTATCAAAAAAAAAAATTCATTTTTGTTAATTTGAAACTGCAAACAAATTTTTCTAAAGAACTTCAGTTTGTTTATATTATTATTATTTGAAAAAAGTTCCTTTCACAATAAATTTGAATAGTTTCGTTTTCAATGAAAAGAAATTTTCTCTTCACTTGGTAATTTGGGAATTTTTTTTTTTTTTCTTCATCCTCCTTCTTTTTTTTTCTACAAAACCTGAATAAATACACTCTGGACACAAGTTGATTCACCTGTTGATCATTTAGGTAAAAAAAAAAAAAAAGTTTTTTTTTCTATTTTGTTATGTATTACAAATATTAATAGTTCTTTTAGTTTTTTATTTCAAAGCAAAAAAAAATTCTATTTATAGTTATATTTAAAAAAAAAAATTGTTCCTAAATTCAGTTTTTTGTTATTTATTTTTTCTTTATTTTTATTTATTTATTTATTTTTTAATTATTTTTTCTTTTTTTTTTACTTTTTTTTAATTGTAGAAATCTTTATTTTCTGTTTAATCAATTTTATATATGTATAATATAGTAAAGTTTCAGTGATGACCTATAGTAACATTTATTTTTCTCATTCCCTTGAGACTATACAGCATGCCCTGATCGCAGCTTGAAAAGTTTTCTCCCGTACACATAACACATGAGAAGTCAACATTCATGTACTCTTTTTGTCAATAAAATTTGCTTCTGTTTAACCCCATGATTTTATCAGCTGCTTTTGATTTTTAGACAAAATTTTATAAACAGATAAAAATATTTAATTTTATCCGTTACCTTCTTTTTTTTCTTAATCTTTGAATTAATATTTACTGGATCCAAAATGAAATTTTCAATATAATAATAATAATAATAATAATAATAATAATAATAATAATAATAATAATAATAATAATAATAATAATAGTAATAATAATAATAATAACAAAATTATAAAAATAAAATAATAATAATAATTTTTATTTTGTTTTATTTATTTATAGACGGTATAAATAATACATGGAATAAAAGATTTAAATGAAACAGCTAAACATTTCACTATAAGAGCAAAAGTTTTACTTGTTTCAGTTAAATCTTTCGCTATTCTAATGAAACCTTTTCCTGTTTCAGGTAAATATTTTTTTTTACGTGTATATAGTAATAATAAAATAATGACAATAATAATAATATTATAATAATATAATAAAAATAATAATAAATATTAATAATAATAATAATAATAGTGATATAATTATTATATTATTATTATTTTTTTTTTCTGTCAAATTCCAACGAATAATCCTGATTAAATCTTTATAATAATCTGAAATGATTATTTTAATCAAAAGCTTACAATCAAACCTGAGGGGAATTGATCGATTTCAGTTAAAAGGAATTTAATTTTTCCGACAATGGAGAAATCACAATTTTCAATTATATTGAAGGTGCAATCATTTTATAATTATAATACGGGAAAATTTCAACATTACTTTTTAAGAGCCAGTATATACATATAAAAAATGCGAAAAAAATAATTTAAATTAAAATACAAAAAAATTATCTAAAATTTATTTATTTAGATTTTTTTTTCTAAATTATTAACTAAAATCTACGTGCGGAAAAAAAACCTAAAATAGTAGGGAAAAAAAATATCTTATTAACTATATGTAATAAAATTTACATAGAAAAAAGAAATTACATAGAGTAATAGGGAAATTTTTTTTTTTTTTTTTTTTTTTTTTTTTTTTTTTTTTTTTTTTTTTTTTTTTTTTTTTTTTTTTTTTTTTTTTTTTTTTTTTTTTTAGTTTTCAGTGGAAAACTCTCAATATACGTGACGTATGAAGTCAATAAAGCACGGACACGTTCTTTTAGAATTTTTATAGAATTCTAAGCAGAGAAAATTTTCAATTCGCCGGTCAATAATCCGCATTGCTTCACTCTATTTTTTCTACTCACTTTCTCGTTTAAATATTAGACATATATATATATATATCTGTTAAAAATGTCGTTCTTGAGTTAAAAAATAGGATTTAAATGTCATTCGTCAATTTAATATTACTCTAATCTGTAATTTTTTAACCCTGGGGAGTAAAATAGCTATTTTTTACTCTAGGGGGTAAAATAATCATTTTTTAGTCTAGGAGGTAAAATAGCCACTTTCGATTCTAGGGAGTAAAATAGTCACTTTCGACTCTTGCTCTATCAAAAATTAACTACTGGGACAGTACAGCGCCAGTACTACCAGTAGTGGCGCGATATTATTACCAGTACCGCGCCAGTAGTGAACTCTGATAATTTTTGGTAGGGAAGGAGTAAAATGATCATTTTCAAACTAGGAATTATAAAAAAAAGGTTTTTTAACCCTAGAAGCCAAAAGAGGCTTTATTCTAGGGAGTAAAGTATTTTTTCAGTTCTAGGGAGTAAAATAACTATTTTTAACCCTAGAAGGCAAAAGAGGCTTTATTCTAGGGAGTAAAGTATTTTTTCAGTTCTAGGGAGTAAAATAACTATTTTTAACCCTAGAAGCCAAAAGAGGCTTTATTCTAGGGAGTAAAGTATTTTTTCAGTTCTAGGGAGTAAAATAACTATTTTTAACCCTAGAAGCCAAAAGAGGCTTTATTCTAGGGAGTAAAGTATTTTTTCAGTTCTAGGGAGTAAAATAACTATTTTTAACCCCAGAAGCCAAAAGAGGCTTTATTCTAGGGAGTAAAGTATTTTTTCAGTTCTAGGGAGTAAAATAACTATTTTTAACCCTAGAAGACAAAAGAGGCTTTATTCTAGGGAGTAAAGTATTTTTTCAGTTCTAGGGAGTAAAATAACTTTTTTTAACCCTAGAGAGTAAAAAAAATTTTAATCTAGAAAATAAGACAAGGATTATTTTTTAATCCAAGGCATTTTTTATATGATTCTAATTATACGAAAAAATTCAATTTGTCCAAAAATTGTATAGATATTTTATTTTACTTTTGGCTGTATAGTACATATGGGATATATTTGCATTGATTGAATTTTAACGAGTATTATTAAAAAAAAAAAAAAAAAAAAAATGAACAGAAAAAACGAGGACACGTTTTGTTTTGTTGAAAATAAAGCTTTGTTTATCTTCGGAGAGAGGTAAAATTTTTACCTGCGCTCATCGAATTTTCATTAAACCACATAAATACGACAACTATAAATAGCCATGAAGGAGAGCACGCTAATCGATAGTTTGGTGAACTGAACACATTATTATGCCAACGAACTTTTTCTTTTTTTTTTTTTGTACACATAGTTTGGTTGATGACAAAAAAAAAACGGATAAATATTTGCAAAATCATTTGTGCTTTATTTAACTTCGTTTAGGGAAACGATTGTCATCAGTGGAACACACTGTTTACAAGTGAGACAGTTCAAATTTTCTATTTAGTAGAAAAATAGAAAAAAAAGGACAACAAATAAAATAGAATAAATATAGATTCAAAAAATTTATTTATTATTTATAAAGAATGAAAATTGGCAACATTGATCATAGAATATTGTCTGCTAGTTATTTTAATTTTTTGACCAATAGGACAATTGAAATTTCCCGCCAAATTTTTGTTTTTAGGTTAGGAAATTTAATTCCTGTGTATTTAAATATTTTAATGTGATATCAAAAAAAAAAAAAAATAATAATAATAATCATATTTTGCAGAAAAAAAAGAATTATTATTTTCTAAAAAAAAAAAAAATTACTAAAAAAAAATCCACCAATTTTCCATAAAAATTTAAAATCACATTCACTAAAAGCGTTTTAGACTGAAACATGAAATTTTGATTTCCGGTACTTTTAGTGTGCGACGACGATATAATCCACATACCACTGTGTATAAATATAGATATTCACAGAGCACTTGAATTTAAAGTTTCTCAATTGAGAAAATTCTTAAAAATTTAATTTTTCACATAAATTAAAACGAAAAAATTGATAAAATTTAATAATTATTTAAATAAATTATTATTATTATTTGTAATTGAAATCAAATTCAGGAATAAATTCTGGATTATAATTATTATTTTATGATTATTGTTATTATTATTATTATTATTATTACTATTATTATTTTTATTTTTATTATTTTTTATTATTATTATTATTATTATTATATTAAAATTAATTGATATTGTTTTATTTTCTATAAATGTTTTAAGTTTGAGGTTATGTTTTGTACTTTTTAAGAAAGAAAAAAAAAAAAAAAAAAAAATTCTGTGAAAACGGTAGTTCAATTAATTTATGGAAATAATTGACACGTTATATAGAAATTGGGAAAGCACCTTTTTAATTGAATTATAACAATTTAAACTGAGAACCTCTGATGCTGTTCATAGTTTACATTTAACTTCCTAGTTTTCCCCCTTTTACACACGTTAAACTGGCTAAAATATAAACAACTCGCACGAGTGAACAAATAATACAACTGAGGGTAAGAACTCGTTCGATGCACTTGAATGTAAACACAAAACAGTGGTTGACAACGATATGCAAACAACTTTTTTCTATTTTTTTTATTTTGTAACGTAATTAAAACTCTTTCTCTTCCTCTCTCTCTCTCTCTCTCTCTCTCTCTCTCAGGAGAAACTTTTTCAAACTCTAATTATTATACTAGTAACAAAACAAAACTCTCGTTAAAATTTCTAATGTAAAATCAAATTAAAAAAAAATTTAATTTAAAAAATAATTTTTTATGATAATTTCATAAATTTTTTTTTTTTTTTATGTAATGTGGAATTATTTTTAGTGTAAAAAAAAACGCGTGGATTATAATTGTGAATGATTTGATGCAGATGTCGAGTGGAATTGGTGCAACTGCTATGGGGATTGGCGTTAGTCACGGCGCTGGAGGTGGTGAGGGTGTCGCAGGTGGGGGATGTCGTCTAAGGGCCCAAAGTCAGGCCTCTGGGTCTGTTGTGCAACAATCGTCGCAGCAACAACAGTCGCAGCTGCAGCAACAGCAAGGAGGAGGGCAACAACAATCGCAATCGCAGCGCCAAGCGCCGGGATTAATGGGACGCTCCAAAAAGGACAACTGTTGCCTTTGTTGGTGTTGCTGTTGCAGTTGCTCGTGGTATTACCGTTCTTATCTATTTTTTTCGTTAGGAACGCTGATAGCATATTTATTTTTCATTCTTTATTTTTTTTTTCTTCACTTTGTTTCGTTCACTTTTTCTCTTCCCCTCCTTTTCTTCTTTTCTCTTTCTCTTCTATTTTATTCCTTTTTTCCTCTTTTTCTTCCTTTATTTCCTCTTCTCCTCCATTTCTTTTTTCCTCTTCTCTTCCCTTTCTTTTTATCTTCTTCGATTTTTGCCCTCTTTCTTCCTTTTTTTCCTCTTCCCTTCCCTCTCTTTTTATCTTCTCCTCACATTTTTTTTGTCTTCCCTTCCTTTTTTCCACTTCCCTTCCCTTTTTTCTCTTTTCCTCCCATTATGTTCCACTTTCCTTCCCTTCTTTTCTCTTCTCCTCCACCCATTCTTTTTCTCTTCCCTTCCTTTTTATCTTCGTCTACTTTTTTTCTCATATTCCCATCTTGTTATTTCGATATTCTTCTATTTCCCTCATTTTTTCCTCCTCTTCTTCGTTTTTCTGCTTATTCTACTCTTCCCCTCCCACTCTTTTAGTTCTTTTTTGTTTCCACTATTCCTTCTTCTTCTTTTCCCACTTTTTTTTTGCTTATTCTCCTCTTTCTCTCCTACTTTTTGAAGCCTTTTTTTGTTTCTCATATTCCTTCTTTTCTTCCTCCTCTTCCCACCACTTCTTCTTCCCTTTTCTGATTATTTTCATCTTTCCCTCCCACTCCTTAGGATATTTTTTCTGTTTCTGTAATTCCTCCCACTTCTGCTCCACTTCTTATCTTTTTTTTTGTCCTTATTCTCTTTCCTCTTTTTCGCTGCGTCTTTGTCTTCGCTTCCCTTCCTTTCTTTTCTTATCGTTTTCTTCTTTTCCTTCTCCTATTCCCCTCCATTTCTTTTTACTTTTTCCTTCTCCCCTCATTTTCTTCTTTTTCTTTTCCCTTTTCTATCCTTTGTTTCTTTCTTCTACTTCACTCCTTTTTTATTTATTTTCTCTTTCTATTTTTCCTTTCACTTTTTTACTCTTTTTTTATTTCCCCTCTCCAACTCCTTACTATTTTATTTGTTTCTTCATGTTTTTTTTTTTATTTATTTAATATCGACCGAGTGATAAAATCATTTTATTTATTTCCTTACTATTTTCTTTACTGTTCCTTTCTCTTCTTCTTTTTCTTTATATTTTTCCTCTCCTCTTTGTCTTCTTCTTTCCCTTCCGTTTCTCTTTTTTATATTTTTCTGTCCTTTTCTTCTTGATTCCTTTACTTTTCTGCTCTTCTCATCTTTCAGTGTTACCTTCTTCCATTACTCTTTTTGTCTACATCTATCCTCCTATTCATTTTTTCCACCTCCTTTTTCATAATCTTTTTTTTTATTTTCTACTACTTCTCTATCTTTTTTCTTCTTATTTTTCTTCTCCTACCTTCTCTCCTCAATTTTTAGTTCTAACTTTTTTTTCTCTTTCCTCTGTTTATTTCTATCTTTTTGTCAGCGATTTTTCTATTATCTCTTCCCCATTACCATATTTTTAGATATCTTTTCTTTTTCTTATTCCTCTATTGTCCCTAATGTGTTTCTAGTGACATCACAGCCTCCTCTTTTTATGTAACTTCTTCCTCATCTTTTACAGTTTCTTTCAGCCTCTTGAGACACTTTCCTCTATTCTTAATATTTTTTACCCTTTTCCTATTTTGTCTTTTATTTTTTAATTCTCACTTTTTATTCCTTTTACTTCTATCTATTTTCTTTTTTTATTCACATTCTTTTCTGATTCTACATCATTTTCTCTTCTTTTTACTGTAACTTCTATTGGCCTCCCTTACTCTCTTCTTTTAATCTCTTCTATTTTTCTCTTTTTCCATTCCTTTCTTCCTCTTTTTTCTTCTTTTTCCTATTCTTTTTTATTCTCTTCTTCATTCTTTTCTTCCTCCATTCCTTTTTTCCTCTCTCTTCTATTTTTCCTCTTTCTTAACCTCTTCTCCATTATTTTCTCCCCTCATTCCTTTCTCCGTCTTTTTTCTATTCTTTTTTTAATAACCTCTTTTTCCCTTTTTCTTCTTTTCCATTCCTTTCTTTTTTTTACACTATCTTGAATGTCTCCTCCATCCTTATTTCTCCATTCCATTTCTCTTTTTTCATATTCTTTCCTTTTTTTTAGCCTCTCCTCCATTCTTTTCTTCCTCCATTCATTTTTTCCTTTTTTTCCATAATTCTCTAAGCTTCTCCTCCATCCTTCTTCTTCTCCATTTCATTTTCCTTCCTTCTTGTATTTTTTTTTCTCTTACCTTCTCGTTCTCCATTTCGTTTTCTCTTTTCTCCATACTTTCTCCTTCTGACAATAATTGTTAAATGAAAAAAAAGGCAAATTATTGTCATCTCCTCCATTCTTTTTTTCTCCTTATCACAATATTTCTTTCTCTTTCTTTCATTACTATCATTTTAATATATTTTCTCCCTTCACTTTCTCATCTCAATTTTTTTCCCCTCTCTCAGTTGCATATGACATATCATATTCTCTATCTCTCTTTCTCACTCTCATAGCATCACTCAGCTCTTACCCTTCTTCTCCTCTTCATCCCTCATCCCCCCATATAACCCCACCCAACGCTCTCGAACTATCGACCTCGCTTGCGCCGCTCTGCACTCGCCTTTACTATGTGAACGTCCTATTGAATTCGTAGAAAAGTCACGTCAAATGAATTCTTATTCAATCCCGATGTATTCCATCGAGGAGACCTAGTTCCAATAGTCTATTAAAAAAAAAAAAAAGATAAAAAAAAATTCTGAAAGGATCTATATACTCTATAAGTGAATCTCTTAAGTTTCATGAGATGAATTTGTTACGGTTAAACTAGTCCAGGATTCGTGGCAGGAATGTAGGACACTCCGATAAATATTTTTATTATTATTATCATTATTTATTTAATAATTATTATTATTTAAATGACCCTACATTCAATTAAACAATCATTATCGTCTTCGTTTTTATTATTGTTATTATTATTTTATTATTATTATTTTTATTTTTATTAATATTATTATTATTGTTTTTATTATTGTTGTTATTATTACTATGATTATTATTTTATTATTATTATTTTTATTTTTATTAATATTATTATTATTATTGTTTTTATTATTTTTATTATTATTTTTTTTATTAAAAATTTCTTTTGCCTTCTTTTTATTTAATAAAATCGAGAAGTTAAATTAAAAAAATTTCTATTAAACATAAAATTAAAAAAAAAAATTTCATTTTCTATTAAAATAAATCTCCGTTTTATGGAAAGTAAAATTAAAAAAAAGAAGGAAAGAAAAAATACATTAAATCTTGTATGAAAAATATGGAAATTTTTTTTTTTTTTTTTTAATGTCCGAGTAACTTTTTTTTTTCTTTATTAGAATATGGGAAAATTGTATGTATGTACGTAAGAAGATTGCAATCTTTTTAGTATGTGTAATTTTTGAAAGAGTGTGCAATTTACTGCACACACATTCACATATATATATATATATATATACATACACAGGACATAAACAGGCGCGCGGTGCTTTTCTTTAGTATGTTAACGATTTTCCAGTATACAATTGGGATCTCTCCCATTTGTTCCTTGAAATGTGGAACACACTGAATCTGTATATATATCGGACACATTTTGTTACACTTACTTCAATTCAATAGAAAGACGATTATTTCAATTCTCGCGTCTTTAAATACGCGTAAAATAGTTTTTTTTTTTTTTTTTAATAAATAAATTATTAATTTATTACTAAATTATTTTGTTTTTTTGTAGAATATAAAGAGGGAAAGTAGAGTTTAAATTAATTTTTTTTTTATTTGATTTTAAATAAATATTTATTTGTTTTAAGTAAATTTTATTTGATTCAAACGAGGATTCAAATAAATAGTTACTAGTTTCAAAATAATAAATTTTATTTGCTTCTAATAAATATTTGTCCGTTTCAAATATATTTTATTTGATTCAAATAAATATTTATACTAGTTTCAAATAAATATTTGTTGGTTTCAAATAAATTTTATTTAATTGAATTAAATATTTACTAGTTTCAAATAAATTTTATTTGATTCAATTGAATACTTACTAGTTTTAAATAAATTTTATTTGTTTCAAATAAATATTTACTAGTTTCAAATAAATATTTGTTGGTTTCAAATAAATTTTATTTGATTGAATTAAATATTTACTAGTTTCAAATAGATTTTATTTGATTCAATTGAATACTTACTAGTTTTAAATAAATTTTATTTGTTTCAAATAAATATTTACTAGTTTCAAATAAATATTTGTTGGTTTCAAATAAATTTTATTTGATTGAATTAAATATTTACTAGTTTCAAATAAATTTTATTTGATTCAATTAAATACTTACTAGTTTTAAAACAAATTTTATTTGTTTCAAATAAATATTTACTAGTTTCAAATAAATATTTGTTGGTTTCAAATAAATTTTATTTGATTGAATTAAATATTTATTAGTTTCAAATAAATTTTATTTGATTGAATTAAATATTTATTAGTTTCAAATAAATTTTATTTGATTCAATTAAATACTTACTAGTTTTAAATAAATTTTATTTGTTACAAATAAATATTTACTAGTTTCAAATAAATATTTGTTGGTTTCAAATAAATTTTATTTGATTCAAGTACATTTAAAAAAAAAAAATTTTATTTCTTTCAAAGTAAATTTTATATTTTTTTTCCCAAATAAATTGGGTTTAAAATGGATATTTTTTTATGTGGATCGAAAAATATATTGTGAAAATGAAGAGCATTCGCTAAAAATGATTTAAACTAAAGTATAGGTAACAAAAATTATATTCGTTCTTTTTTTTTTTTTTAATATTTTATGGCCCTTTCCTCCTTTCAGTTTTCTATCAATTTAGAAAAGTGCTGCGGAATCCCGGTCCGCCCCTGGTTTAATCGATTATCTTTTTTCGAATCGTTCATCTCTACAACCCTAAAGTCTGTATAGCGTGTATTTATGACCTATTTACCATCGAGTACAAATGTATGCACAATTTTTTACAAATGTATAAATATTAATTAAATTATTAATAATAATAATTATAAATATTTATAACTATATAATTATAAAAATTGTTGTTATAATTATCATTATTTTTATAATTATAATATATATATATATATATATTTATAATTATATATTTTATGTATTATATATATATATATATTATATCATTATAATTTATAATTATTTTTAAAAAAAATTTCTATTCTATAGAACAATTTTTTTTTTATAAATATTATTTATAACAATTTTTTTTTTCTATAGAATTAAAAAAAAAAAAAATTTCTCATAAATTCAAGGAAAAATTATTGTAGCCATGTCATTTGTCAACTATAAATAGAAACAATCATCATATTATAATAATTATAAATATATGTATATATAAATTCAAATCTATATCTGTTCTCTTTTTTCTGTTTCATGCCGCAAGCAGGAATAAATGGTGAGCAGGACAGTGTATTTTCTTGTTTATATGCTGCTATCGTGCCCTATATATATATATATATATATATATATATATATACATTTGGGAAACGCTGTTGTGCGCATAACACGTGTTTCCTCCCCTCTCCCTTTTGTTTCCCTCCATCGAAATCTCCTACACACTCATCCTCTCAACACCCACTAATACCTCCATCCCAGAAACTATGTAGTCGTGATTCGATTTTCAGTTTTGGTCGACTAGACGTCCTGTCGTCGATCATATTTTTCTCCCCCTTTGGTCCAAATATACATACATACATATAAACGTACCTTTACATTTTTTTTATATGTATAATTCTTTTCTATTGTGTTTTATTCAGATTTTTTTTTTATTTGAGAAAAAAATATTTTTTATTCACGTTTTTGATTTCTTAGTATTATTTTTATTTTTATTATTATTATTATTATTATTATTATTATTACTATTATTATTATTATTATTATTATTATTATTATTATTATACTCAGCGTAACTAATCGTTGAGCGCGTCACTCCCACCCTCCGCTCAGCGTAGCCAATCGTTGAGCGCGTCACTCCCACCCTCCGTTCAATGTAACCAATCACTGAGCGCGTAACTCCCACTCTGCCGCTCAGCGTAGCCAATTACTGCGCTTTAACTCCACTCTCCAAGCAACGCATTGTATTTTCAATTCATTTAATAGTCACGCTCTTGAAAAACGTAATTAAAGGATTGAAATATAAATTTTAAAAATCAAAATAAAGAATATAGTAACAAAATTAATAAATTACTACATATAATATACATTTAAAATTATATAGCAGTAAATTATATTATTATTATCACTATTATTCTACCGTACAAAGTAAAAAGACACGCATTTGAAATATACAGCACGGACGTATATTTTTACTTTGGACGGCAGTATTATAGTTATTATTAATATTATTATTATATAATATTAAATATATATTATAAATAGTAAATTATTATTTTTCTTACTATATTCTTTATTTCGATTGTTTAAATTTTGATATTTAAATAATTTTACTTAGGTTTTTCAAAAACGTGACTGCAGTAAATGAATTGAAAATGCAATGCGTTGCTTGGAGAGTGGAGTAAATGCGCAATTATTGCCTACGCTGAGCGGCAGGGTGGGAGTTACGAACTCACGTGATTGGTTACGTTGAGCGGAAGGGTGGGAGTGACGCTCTGAACGATTGGCTACGCTGAGTTTACTATATTATATTCTATTATTATAGCAGCATATTCTATTTTCTCTTAATTCTCCCAAAAAAAAGCACTTCAGTAAAAAGTTGTCACGTTTATTTATTTTTTTTTTTTGCAAATTTAAAGTATTATAATTTTTCCAACAAAAGAGACTGGAGAAAAAAATTGTTCTTTTTCTTCTGCCTAAAATATATAGGAAAAATATATATAATTTTTAACGAAATTTTACTGAATCCAATTTTCGAGAATACTCACTCTCTATCCTACGCAATGGAATTCGCTTATCAAATTTCCTCAGTCCTTTATCCCCTTCCTTAATACAATTCTCACACGACGTGTACCCTTTTAGCGTGAAATCCGTCGCTGACCTTAATCTCCTCCCTTTGCTCTTCCACCCCCCCCCCTCTGGTCGAAATAGGGTTATGTCTTCGAATTATTCCGAAAACATAATCCCTTTCGCGAATGTATTTGGTTGGGCGCTAAATTTCACCGAAAAAAAGGACTAACCATTAGAAAGAGTTGTTGTTTTCAAAAAAAAAAATTACACTCTCTAAATCTGAATCAGTCATATTTTACTGATTAGCAGTCGAAATTTACTGATTCAATTAGTAAAATATTAATTATTGATTAAATCAGTAATATAAATATAGTAATAGTATAAATATAGTAAAATTTCTACTGATTCAGATTTAGAGAGCAATGCTATGAAATTTTTTTAAATTTGTTAAATTAAATTCAAAAAATTACATATTTATTTATTAAAAATTAATTTTAAAAAACGATACTTTTTTTTAAAACTTATTCCACAGTAAATAATAGTAAAATAGTAATTAATTAATAATAATAATAGTAATAATTAAATGATAGTAATTTTTTTTTTTGGTTGATTTGACAGTTTGGCGGCGGTTGGTAGTGGAAATGCAGCCGGTGGTGGTGAGCAGGGTAAAAAGAAAAACAACAGTGGCGAACATGGAGTTGTTGGCGATCCAACAAGTGCAAGTACGGGAAATGGACTTGATGGATTAGATGGGATTGATGGTGATAGCGATTATTGCAATTTAGATGAAATTCGATCGTGGGGCTCGTCATTTGATAAGCTCATGAGGAATCCAGCTGGAAGGAGATTATTTCGTGAATTTCTCGTTAGCGAATATAGCGAGGAAAATATTGCATTTTGGCTCGCATGCGAGCAGCTCAAACGCGAAACAAATTCCGAGAGAATCGAAGAAAAAGCCCGCTTAATATACGAGGACTACATATCGATACTCTCTCCAAAAGAAGTTAGTTTACAATAAATTTTTACATTTTTTATTTTTGTTTTTACATATACTTTCTTTTGAGTTTACAACAATTTTTTTTATTTTTGTATTAAATTTTTTTGTAATTTAGAACAATTTTTTATTTATTTTTTATTGGAAAAGTATTGAAAAATTATTAAAAAAAATTGTTTGAAAATTATATTGAAAAAGCATTGAAAAATTATTTACAAAATGAAAATAAATTTTTTCCTTTTGAAAAAACAATGTGTGAACATTAAAATTGTCGCGAAAATAAAATAACTTAAAATTGAGTAAAAAAAAAAAAAAGTTCGAGATTCACAACATTTTGCCAAGTTTGACACATATTCACAAACAAGAACGATAATGGAATTTAAGAAGAATGCCCTAAAAGCATGATGTTTCAATGCTTCTTCTAACGCTATTTATATATACATGCATGGGGGCAAAAAATGAAATTCGATTTTACCTAGATGGCTCTACTCTAATGCCTATACATATATACATAACTTTTTTTTCTCACGAACAAGATTTTTTTCCTATTTTTTTTTTTGAGCATAAATATTTAAATAGAAAAAAAGAATTTACTATCAAATTATTTTGGAACAATTTTTTATTATTTTGAGGTTATGTGAATAAATTCGTCTTTTCTGATTTTCGAAGAAAAACTTTTTTCCCTTATTTAAAAACAATTAAATTACTTAAAAACTGTTTTATTTTTTGAGGTTATGTGAATAAATTCGTCTTTTCTGATTTTCAAAGAAAAACTTTTTTCCCTAATTTAAAAACAATTAAATTACTTAAAAACTATTTTATTTTTTGAGGTTAAGTAAATAAATTCGTCTTTTCTGATTTTCAAAAAAAAAACTTTCTTCCCTAATTAAAAAAAAAAATTTGAACTACTTTAATAAAAAGTAAACGTAGGGCAAATTGTCTTGAGTTACAATTATTATTTTTTGAGGTTAAGTTCGTCTTTTCTGATTTTCAAAGAAAAACTTTTTTCCCTAATTTAAAAACAATTAAATTACTTAAAAACTATTTTATTTTTTAAGGTTATGTAAATAAATTCGTCTTTTCTGATTTTCAAAGAAAAACTTTTTTCCCTAATTTAAAAACAATTAAATTACTTAAAAACTATTTTATTTTTTGAGGTTAAGTAAATGAATTCGTCTTTTCTGATTTTCAAAAAAAAACTTTTTTCCCTAATTAAAAAAAAAATTTGAACTACTTTAATAAAAAGTAAACGTTGGGCAAATTGCCTTGAGTTAAAATTATTATTTTTTGAGGTTAAGTGAATAAATTCGTCTTTTCTGATTTTCAAAGAAAAACTTTTTTTCCAATTAAAAAAAAAATGTGAACTACTTTAACAAAAAGTGAGCGCATGTCAAAATATCTTAAGTAAAAAGGAGCATGCACAGAATGTTATTATTTTCAGGTTATGTGAACGAAATTAGTCTTTTCAGATTTTCAAAGAAAACCTTTTTTTTTTCTTCTTCCAGGTGAGTCTGGACTCGCGGGTGCGCGAAATCGTGAATCGAAATATGGTGGAGCCAACGCCTCATACGTTCGACGAGGCACAACTACAAATTTACACTCTGATGCATCGTGACTCCTATCCACGTTTTGTCAACAGTGAAATTTACAGGCGAACAGCGAGACTCGGTAGCGGGCCACCCAGTCCAACGGGCACCGAACAAGAACACACAAACGTCACCGGAAAGTCAAAGTCAAAAAAATCGATGACGTAATCTCGCTCGACATAAAAAAAATAGGTAACGTTTTTTTCTAAATCGACCACCAAAAAAAAAAAACGTTTTCTAAAAAAAATTCGATCTCCAAAAAAAAACAAAACGTGCTCGTATTATAATTATCGACGCTATCGTCGCGTCGATTTTGCACACACGAAAAAAAAAAATTATTATTGGAGTCGTCTCGATAAATAAATAATAAAAAAAAATAGGTTAACAATGGTCTTCCAAGCGAAGCCACGGGGCCATGAAATAAATGAAAAAAAAATAAAATAAATCACGCTATGAAAAAATAAATACTAAACACGCGACAGTGATTTATTTATTTAGAAAAAATTATATCCAAATAATTACGGACTTGGAATTACAAAAAAAAAAGTAATTTCAAAAGTAGAGGAGAAAATAAAAATGTAATCGTTTTGCAGTCCGGGGATATGCGTCGTCGTGATTGATTTACATTTTTTTTTGTGAAAAAAAAAAATTTTATTATTTATTATTAGAGCTGAGACTAGTGTCGATTCCTTGATTGTTGAGCGTTACCTCCCACTTTTGCCAATCACAGAGCGCGTCACTCCCACTCCTTTGCCTCGGCAACCAATCATTTGCGCGCTACTCCCACTCTAGTTCTCCGCGTAACCAATCACAGTGCGCCATTTCCCCATTCTTCCATCGTCACTTAACCAATCACATCATCCACTCCTCTTCCATTTCTATTCAACATTTGTTGTTAGTTAACAAAAAAAAAAAAAAGTGGGAGTGTCACGCAATTAAAAAAAAAAACCATAACGAAATACAAAAATAGAATTAATTCCCACTTCGCACAATATTTTTCTCAGTCTCTAATTCGAAAAAAGACAAACGAAATCGATTCCAATCGATTAAGAAAAAAAAAAAAAAAATAATTAGAGACTCAAATGTGAGACTACAATTTTTCAGTGGTCACACATAATTCTAGAAATTTTAAAATAATATCAGCTGATGATACCAATGATATGTATAGATAATGTTTTTTCAATCCTTGTTCACTTTTCTATAAGGATTTTTTATGTGTAAAAAAAGAGAATTGTTAAATCAGGATGAATTTCCTAAAAAAAAAAAAATTTCGACTGCTTCTCAGCAGTTTTACATAAATATATAAATAGAAAAAAAAAGAAGAAGGCGTTTTTTCTTCTTATATATAAATAAGATTTATTTATTTGTTTCAATTCCAAAGTTGTTAGACAAGCTTTATTCTCAAAAACAAAAATAGCATTTTTTTTTCCAAGTTTAAGAGAGAGAAAAAAATTAGAGTACGAACTCGATTTTTTTTCTTTCTGAGATGGGGAAAAAATGGTTCATTATTATAATTAGCAAAATAAAATTTTTTGAATTATTTGAAAATTTTCATTATTTGTAATAAATTACATCTGCTACAGTTTCTTATGTATATTTACGTGAATATAAACGATAAATAATAAGAATGTATTTGCGATAAAAATGTGTTCGAGCTAATTGATAAGCTACTGGATTTTAATGTCCATGTACGAATTAAAAAAAAAAAAAATAACTGTACAGTCGAGAAGTAAAATTTCAAAAAAAAATTTAATCTGCATGAGATTTATTTAAAAATAATAATGAGAAAAAAATTAACCAGTCTCGTAGTATTTTTTGTTGTAAACATTTTTTTTTATTAATTTAATAGTAATTAAAATTTCAATTATTTATTACAATATAATAAATAATTAGCAATTTTAATTTGTATTTATTTATTTAATTTGTAAAAGTAAATTTTTTTTCAAAAATAATTTTTTGAAATACATATTTTTTTAAAAACAATTTCTATATAAATTAGTTAATTTTTTCGATTTATTAATAATTAGGGAAAATTCTGAGCTGTAAGAAAAAAAATTAATAAATAATAGTTTTTTGGTTGACCAATGAAAAAAAATAATAATAATAAAAAGCATTTTATCGATGTTGTACGGATGCGTCGTATATATGAAAATTCAGTGTAAGTTACATCGTTACATTTTTTATTAATTAAGAAAAAAAAAAAAAAAATTGTAACACTACCTTCTCTCTGTGATATCGCATAATGTGAAATAGTCGTAAATCGGTGTGTGATACTTCTTGAAATAGAAAAAAAAAGGAACAAAAGAGTTGGAATGTGACGATCTCAGGTTACTAATATTTTTTTTTAATTTTACAAATATTTTTTTTTGAATTTTCTTTTCTTATCCCGGGCTTCGAAACATCAAAGTCTATATTATAAAAAAAATATATATATATATATTTTGTCCATTTGTCACAAGTAGTTGATAATTTTTTTATATTTTTTTTTTCTAAGTAAAAAAATGAAAATAAATCATTTTTTCTATTTTGTTAGGAAAATTTTTTTTTCCAATTATTTTTAAAAGAAATTTTAAATATTAATATTTAAAATAAAATATTAAAAACAGGCACAAATTACCAAAATATTTTTTTTTGCAAATAAAATACATTTGTATTTTTTTTTTTTTTGTAAAAATAAAAAGAGTTATTTTTTACTTATTTACGTGAATAATTTTAATTAAATAATAGATAATTAATTTTTTGTGTCGTTAAAACAGTGTCACTTAGGTTAAGAATGTTGCGCGCGCCGCTTTGGGGTGGAGGGAGAAGGCGCGTTACCCCCACTCCTTGTAAGTGACGCTCACAATTATAACCAAAGAAAAAAAGTAACGCTAGTCCTTTGTTTTAAATTGTTTTTTATTCTACAATTATTTTTCTACATTTTTACACATACAAATAATTACAAATTATTAGTTTAATTTTTTTTTTAAATATAGGAAAAACAAATGATTTTTTAAAAAAGAAAGAAAACAAAGCTAAGACGCACAATCTTATTGAGTTGACGCACAAAAGAAAAGCGCAAAAAAATACTTTTTTTTTTTTCGAAGTCCGATTACTATATAATGCGATAATGATGATAATTATTATTATTATTATTATTACTATTATTATTACTATTATTATTATTATTATTAATATTTTTATTATTATTATTAATTCTACAATAGTGATATATATGTATATGATAAAATACGATAGACACTTAAGAACGAAATAGACGACGCAGAATCCCCGATTTGGTGTAAAAAAAAGAAAAAAAAAAAAAAAAAAACCGAAACCAAAAATAAACAAATATTTATACCGAATTACTGCCACGAGAAAATGCGACGCATCATATTATAAATAATAATATATTAATGAAAAAAAAAAAAACTACAATTTAAATAAATAATGACCAGACGAGTTTTTAGCACAAAAAAAAGGGCACCACGTATAAAAAAAATAAATTTTTTTTTCTCGTGGTCCTAGGAATGGCCTAAGCCCTAAAAAAAAAAAAAACTAAAGTGAAACAAGAAATGCAAAATAAAAAAAAAAAAAATAGAAATCTCACGATTTTCATTCGCGATTTAAATCGAGCCGCGAATTTTTTGCTCGTCAAACGTCGCTGGATGACATCAAATATGGTTGTAAAACAAGGCTAATAAAAAAAAAAAGTATAAAAAAAAATATTAAATAAATAAAATTTCGTGCGTGAGTCATGAATAAAAAAACAAAAGGGAAAGAAAGAAAGAAAATTTTAAAAAAATTGTGCGAACACGAAATTGAAAATTAGTAGCAAGATGAGAAAATGAATTTGAGAGTGTATATGTGAGATGAAAGAGAGAAAGAGAGGGAGAATATGAAAAAAAAAATTGAGTGCTTTGATTGTATGAGAAAGAATGCTTTTAATGTAAAATTGCGCTGCAATTCCCCGCAGCCTTAATCACGATTCGGCACAAAAAAAAAAATAAATAAATAAAATAGCACAGTCAGTCACAATGTTTGGCTACTGCCTTTGTAGATATAGATAGGTGTTATCATTTTTTGTTCCTATTTTTATTTAGATAATTATTATTTTTATGAATTTTTATTTTTTTTTAATATGTTTATTATTATTTTTATGAATTTTTATTTTTTTTTTAATATGTTTATTATTATTTTTATAAATTTTTAGTTATAATTAGATGGTTATTATTATTTTTTTTCATTAGTAGAGTCCGGACAAGTGCTTTTTAAAAGAAAATAGCCAGTGGCCTAGCGGTAAAGTTCTCGACGCCCCAATTTACTGACTAGGGTTCAATTCTTTCCGAAGGGGAATTTTTTTTTTTTTTTTAACCTTCTATTTCAAAATTTCTTTCGAACAAATTTTATTGTTTCATTTTGAAATTAATTTTTACTATATTGAAATTATTTTCCAATTAGAAATTATTTTTTCTTTTTATTTAAAAAAAAAAAATTAATAAAAGTATTAAAATTTAATTTCAAAGATATGAAAATATTGATGTAAATTTAATTTGAAACAAATTATTATTAAATTATAAAATTTTTCAATAAATAAAATTTACTATTTTTATTTTTCATTTATTTTTATTATTAAATATTATTAGAAATTATATATAAAAATGAACCGTTGAGAAATTTTGAAATAAATCTATAATAATTTTTAATAGAAAATGAATGAAATAAAAAATTCAACTCTAGGAAGAATTGAACCTTTGACGGAAATTTTGCACAGTCAATGCAGTTACCGCGAGGCCATTGTCTTGAAATAATTTTGTCTCCGATTTTTACCATTATTAAAGTTTTTATTGTTATTATAACTACTGCTATTATTATTATTTTTATTATTATTATTATTTATATGAATATTTTTAGTATTATTATTATTAATTTTTTTTATTTTGTAATTATTGCGCAAATACAGAAAAAAATCAGGAGAAAAAAATTTTAAAAGGATATATGATTATATTATACATATATAAATGTATCATACACGTACTCATCACACTGCGACGTGGGACACATAAGACAAAAAAAAACACGTATTACATTTACGCCAGCTTTGTATAAAATGGCTTAAAAAAAAATGTTACATTACTTGGATGTTTATGTGAAATAAAAAAAAATTCTTTTTTACCATTTTTGTTTTATTTTCTATTATTAATTAATTATAAATAATTAATTAACTTTAATTAATTATTTTTTTTATTATTTTTATTATTTTTTTATTTTTAATTAATTATTAATTTAATTATTATATCGAGAAAAAAAAATTAATTTGTATCAATAAATTTTACTATACTGTAAATTAAAAAATAACAAAATTTAAAAAATGTAATTTTTTTTCGTCTGGTTAAATAAAATATTAAAAAAAAAAACAAACAATTTTTGTAACATTTGTATCAAATTTTCCCCTTTTTATGCACACACACACAGACTTATGTACACAAAAAGAGAGAGAAAAAAAAATTAATAATAAAAAAACACACACACAAAAACATAAAATACATGTATTTGTCCTTTTAATTAGGTACAGGGTGCAAGTTTCAAGATCGAGCGCGGGGATATGTTATATATATAAATATATTATAAATATAGATTATTTAATAAAATTAATTATAATATATTAATAATAATGAAATCAAGTGAGAGAGAGCGAGAGAGACGTTAATTCTCTCCTCTCCTACAAAAAAAAAAAAAAAAAAATCACACGAGAAAATAATAATAAAAAAAAATAAAATATAATAAATCAAGTAAAAGAGTATAAATAAAAATAAAAACACTTTGTCAAATCCTCGAGAAAAAAAATAAATTTTTTTTTGCTTTTTTATTATTAATTTATTAAGATTGCACAAAAATATTATATTGACTTGAAAAAAAAAATTCGCGAATTATATTGTAGTTTAAAAAATACAAAAATAAAAACACACTGACACGAAATGCGAAAAACAAAATAAAAAAATTTCCGTAGCCAGGAAAAATATGTAAACATATATTCGTTATAGAAAAAAAAAAAAAAAAAAATTTGTTGAAAAAAAAATTTGTTACACGATTATAAAAAAAAAAATTATTTTTAAACAAATTTTATTGTAATTAAATTGATATTAATTAACATTGGCTGATATTATTTAACTATTTATCTAAATTTAAAAAAAAAATAAAAAAAACATTGATTATAAAATAACTATTATAATAGTTTTATTAAATATTAGTAAAAATAATAAAGTAGTAACTATTAATTATAATTATTAATAAATAATTAATTAATAACAATTTGTTAGATTAATATTAATAATGATTATAAGTCCGGTTATGTGGCAAAAAAAAAAAAAAAAAGATTACTGCGCGCGCATAGTAAGGAGTGGGGATAGCGTGTGTGAGTGCCAATCACAACGTATTTGCCCCCACTCTTTTTTTTGCGCGCGTGCGCAGAAACAACTCCGGGCGTTAAAAAAAAAAGATATCAATAATTAATGTTAATAAAAACAATTCTATTTACATAGAATTTAATATGTTAATTAATAGCAATTAATGTTAATTAATATCCGTTGGCGAAAAAAATTATTATCAGTCTTAATTTAAAAATTTTTTATAATTGTAACATTTTTGCAATTTTAGAAGAGTGAAAAAAAAATTTTTTTTTCTTTTTTTAATTTTTGTTACAGAATATTACTGTGTAATAAATAAATAATAAAATTATATTGCTGTCATTCACAGACCAATGAAAAAAGAAATAAAAAAAAATATAACAATTATTATACAGTGATTATTAAGTA